ACTTATCGGCGATATCCACAGCTCGCCGATAGAGAAGCCATTGGAAAACTGGAGTGCATGGTCCGAAAAGAATGGGCCGATTACGATAGCGAAACTCTTCGGCATTGTACCTATTGTTGTTCTCAATTCGTATGAAGCCGTCACGGAGCTTTTCGGTCGCCGCAGCCAACGGTATAGTAACCGACCAGCTTCTGTGAGCATGGAAATGATTACTGGAGCAAAGCCGGGATGCTCTCGATTTACACTAATGCACGACTATGATGACCATCTCAAGCTGCATCATCGGGTTCTCTCACCAAGTCTGGGTGCGCCTGCAGCGCACAAGTACCAGCCGCTCATGGGACTAGAGGCTAAGCAGCTACTTTTTGACATCAGCGCTACTCTCGGAAACTGTGCTGACGGTTCTATAATTACCACAAAGGACTTGTATCCTTTGCTGGAGCGGACTCAGTCCAGCACCATCTTAGGTCTTCATTACGGCCTTCGCATCCCCAAGATCGATGAGCCAATATTGCAAAACGTCATTGAAACCCAAGCAAAAGTCACCCATCTTGCCGCAAACCCCCAGCTCCCAGATCTGGTACCTTTCTTGCGCTATCTACCTACTGTTGTTTCCCCATGGCAGCAGTACGCTGACAAGCTGTTTGCATCCCAAGTCGACCTCTACATGCACCTCTTCCAGCACGGCAGGGATGCACTCGGCTGGAATGCTACAAAACAAGCCATCGCAACAGCCGCAAAGCATGCTCCGGCAAGCTACCCAGTAACAGAGCTTGATCTCGCCTTCACACTCGCAACATCGATTCAAGGCGGAATGGAGACATCGCCGCGTCAACTACTCTGGCTATTCGTCGCAGCCCTACGCAACCGGGACTTTGTGACTCGCGCGCACCACGTGCTCGACGACGTCGTGGGCCGGACTCGTCTCCCCAGATTTTCGGACCGCAGCAGCCTCGCGTACGTTGACGCGGTCGCGCACGAGCTGTTTCGCTGGCGGCCAGTTTCTCCGGGGACGATTCCCCGGCGCGCCGATTGGGCGGATAAATACGGTGGTGTGGAGATCAAGGAAGGGGTTACCATCATGGCGAATGCGTGGGCGATTGGTCGCGATAAGAACGTGTTTGATGGGGCCCTGGGGGATGCGGAGGAATTCTTGCCTGAGCGCTGGTTGCGGAGTGGGAAGGTTCGGAATGACCTCCCACTTCCTGTGTTTGGTCAGGGGAGAAGGATATGCCAGGGAAAGCGTGTCGCGACTGATGGAGCGTTTTTGAATATCGCATATTTACTCTGGGCGTTCGATATAGAGGCTGTTGAGGGTGAGAATGTGGATCCGTTGTCTATGGTGGTCGTTGGGTTCATGGTTGAGCCGAAGCCTTTCAAGTTCCGTCTGAAGCCTCGGGGACAATGGGTGCTCGACCTGGTTAAAGAAGAGTGGGAGGGCAGCGAGAAAAACCTGGAAATGGTCATGGGTGTGGCCAATGATGTTGAGACTGGGAACTAATTAGAATTTTTCCCTGGTGTTTAAATAAACTGTGCAAGGGGGTCACGGATTGATAAACCAGGCCGAGCCGCGCCTTCCAAACTCTCCCCGCTATGTACAAATGAAGAGTGCGGAGGCTGACCGACCAGACCAATCACTTCAGCCATTCCAACCACTTTTGTATTGTACTTGATTCTTGTGACGTAATTATCTTGTTTTTGTCCACGGAAGGTGACTGGGTGATATGCACAGCGATTTACCATGTCACATAGAGAAAGTCACATGTCACAACACCTGCATGCAGTACGATTGGTTATAAAATAAAATCCTTGAATATATACGTGCTGAAGAAAGTCAGATATGTAGCGTTTGACGATATTTACATGTGGTCCCCTGCCAGTAATTTACGTTCATCACTGCCGTACCGGATACTGGTGGAATTTCCTCGCCGGTCAACGATTGACGTAGCCTAGAGACCGAACCAAGTCATGTCCGCATCCTCATCAGGAGTAACCCAGTGTCCAACGTTCTGTGCGCTGACGCCTACAAGCTTAGTGCCATCGCCGTAGATCATGGAGGTGTAGCCATTGCGGGGAGTGTTGGTAACGTTCTTGGTGAAAGACACGCCAAGCAGACCGCTCCATTCCTTGAGCTGCTCGCCCAAGTTGGGATATTTGACAAGGCTGTCTGCGGTTCCGTGGTAGGTCATGAAGCGAGGATATTTGCCGTTGAAGCTCGGGTACATGGCCCTGACTTGCGCATCCCACTCGGCCTGCGTCTTGATGATCTGACCGTTTGCGCAGCGCGGGTCAGCGGTACTAGGGCTGGCTCCTGGGCTACCAGCTACACAACCTGCTGCCACTCCAGAGTAGCAGGTTGCGGCAGAGATGACATCGGGATAGGTGGCCATCATGACGTTGGTCATCATGCATCCAGAGCTGGCGCCAGTGACGAAGACCTTGGTTGGGTCGGCGGAATACGTCTTGATGACATATTGGATCATCTGGTTGAGGCCTTGGTTGTCGCCGCCTGCATCTCGAGAGAGGCCCTTTGCGGTGTTGACTTCCCAGCAGTTGTTGTCTTTCTTGGTTGAAGGGAAGATGGTGATGAAGCCCTTTTGCTCTGAGAGGGTGTTGTACTTTGTCGTTGATGCGTAAGTCTCGCCAGAACCTCCGCAAAAGTGCAGCTACGTTTGTCAGTTTTGAGCTCATCTATCAACGATTGCTGACCACTTACCGCGAGGATGATGGCGGGCTTGGTAGCCAACTTTGCTGGAACGTTGATGTTCATCTGAAGGTTCGTTGGGTTGCTCCCCCAGTTGTTGACACGGGTGAGAGCGCCATTGGCAGTTGCGCAGATGGCAGCGATGGTGCTGATAATGGCAGTGGTGGAGTGCATGTTGGGAAGATGTGCAGTGCTAATGCGATGTGCGAGTGTGAGGTGCGAGTGTGATAACAAGCATTCTGTGCGGATGCCTTGGTCCTTTTATGTGCGCTGGGTTTGCGAGGGGATCTTCATGCGTGCTAGGCATGGTCAGGGTTCTTTCTTTCCCGTACCCACTGTGGTGTGTACACCCCTCTTCGAAACACTCTATGTAGGTTACGCACGGATCGGCAGATACTATATTAATACGGGTTTACCTTTTGAGGTATCCAACCTGCTGTATTGCAGTCGTTCCGAATGTCTTGCTTATCTTCGTATTTCTTCTCGTAAGTATCTCCTCTCGTACCATATCTTACTCTCCAAGACTTGATGTCATGGGCCTAGAGCACAATGGACTTCACCGACTGTACTGGGGGCGGGGTGTGACTTGCGAGTATTTCTGACCTACCTAGTCGTTTTTGAGAAGAAATCTTGGACTAAAGCAGAGCCTCAGTCCGACCAATGGTCTGAAGAACAAGGGAGGTCATGCACCATCCCAGATGTTGAGCTATGTCCTGTTTCAACCGTTTTCCTTGGCCATCCCTGTTAATCAGAACGGGCCAACATTTTCTTCAGCAAAACCCCCACCAAACAGAGTATCCGTTTTGCTCATATTTTGTATTGATAGTTGACTGGTATCTTTAAGGTTTTTTAGACTACACGCCGGTTGCAAAAGTTTAAAATAAGTTTACAAAATAACGTAAGCATCCCTAATAGTACAGAAAGGATGAGATGGAAGAAGCAGCATAAAATTATCCTCCGAACGCAAGGACCGCAAGCGGCACCTCGCGCCGAATTGATTAAAGCTACTACCGTGCATTGTTTCCGAAACACGCCTAATACGGAAAGGGATCGGCTCAACGTGTACGACACTCAGTTTTCGCGCCACACAACCCCTGCATACGTCTTCCATGTGTTTTCTAAAGCGGGGAGTTCAGCCAAATATGGCAGGATGGCTTGAGTGGGTAATCTGGCCTTCATAACCCCAACAGCTGCCTGAATGTCGGCTGTTTCGAAAGGAACACTTGAAGTTCGGCACTTCTTCCCTACCCCACGTTCACCGAATACGTAGTAGTAAGACATACAAGGCCTCTTGAAACGTCACGGGAACTATACACACGGACCTTTTTCAACGAATCCATGGCTGTTGGACTTACTATGTACTTGGTCACCATGAATAGCCTGGTATAGAGATGACGCGCTAATTACCGAATAGATCGGTACTTGCACTGATAAGCCTGGACAATAGGGCTCACGATACAACTGCATATGTAACCAACACGCTGTTTTGTGGGGTAAGGTTTGCGGGGCCGGCCCGAATTTGTTAAGCAAAGAGATGAATGCAACTCAAACAGACTGAGTGGGTGGAAGAATTTCTCTTTCACATCCAGACTCACATTACACAGTATTATCCTGTGAGTCGAAACTCTGAGCATAAACCTCTCGTGTTCAGTGGCGTGAGTTGATGGAACGCGGGAAGCCCGACCGCTGCCGAATACGACCTGGACTGATGTGAGACATGGGATTGAACGTTGAGAAACTTATTTTAGGACGATTTCCACGAGGCCTAGATTCACACCCTCAAGGATATTATAGGACTTGCACGTGACCCAATATTGGGCATAGCGCCTTGGCGGATCCCCTGTGCTAAGCTCAGCTGCCCAGTATTACGATCATATCTACTGTTCTTACTGCTACTTTTTGGTCGCCTGTCTATTTCTGTTGCATTTCTTGGTTCCGGTATTGCGCCGCCGCAAGAAGCCGGTGAGCGCTGTGTCGAATCTTCATCCCGAACCAAACATATAATTGTCAATCTTAAACCTCAGACTACAGGCATATAGCAGACGGTGAGACATAAGCACGCTCGCATATCTCAGATACAAAATTCCATTTACTGATGAAAGTTGTTGCACAAACAAAACTCTTTCTACCACAAAGTCCACCCAAACAGTACAGAGGAAACTACAGCTATAAGCCAACAGATAGCCAATTTTGCATTCAACTTGCTTATCACGCCAACGCAACTATGAACAAGTACTGGAAACAGGCGTATACGCTGACACAACCCGACTCTGTAAGCTGAGGAATGACCAAGCCCTTATTTGGAAAACAAAGACTCCAGATCCACTTCTTCCTTGCGGTGCCTAAATCGTGCCTTATTATTCGGGTCGAACCTCATCGTATCACCAGACGAATGAATAAGCTCCACATTTCCACCTAGTGCAAGCTCATAGTCATATTTAAGCAGAAGGTGACACAATGCAATTTTAACTTCGTTCGCAGCGAAGAAACGGCCGGGACACGCCTGATCTCCGTGACGAAATCCGAGATGTTCCGGACTGGTGGACACTAGATGAGCCTTGCTAGCAGTAGCGGGATCTTGTCGTAGACGGTAGAAACGGTAGATATCGAACTTCTCTGGTTCGGGCCATATCTCTGGGTTCGTCAAGCTCGTACCGTTCACGACGTAGTAGCCGCCCTTCTTAAGAATGGTGTCGTTCGCAAGCGTGATTGTCTCAGTTGCAATCCTTTTCATTTGAACTGAGTCAAGCAACAGTTAGCGATTGCTCTGGCATTATGAGCTTGTAGCGTCGATGGCGGGTACTTACGACAGGTAGTCGGGCATAATTGGAGAGCTTCCTTTAAAGCACTGTCCATGATCCTTAAATTGGCAAGCGCAGCCTTACTGAGACCGTCAGCACTCAAGACCTCGATAGCCTCTTTACGCAATACCGGGATCAAATAAGGCTCATTTGTTAAACGCGTCATAATCTAGTTTAATAATTCCGAAGTAGTGTGGATTGCGAAGACAGAGAGGGGTATCTAGTAGGAAACAAGATCTGTTATCGTTCCATAGCCTTCTTCCTCAAGCCACTCCAACATATCGTCGTAGACAGCGGCGGGCTCGCCTTTCTACTTTACCTCTGCCTTTGCTTATTTCCGCTAGTCGACAATTGGGGCTAGGATATCGCATGCTTCGATAAAGTACTTTTGCGCAAGTCTGGCATCTTTTGCAAACCAAGCAAATATATACTGGATTGGCAGAGGCATGAAGGAGAGCGAAAACCCGGTCGTGACACTGTGCACGGTGTAATTCTTGGTGGCTTGAAGCCAGGCTTCATTACGACATAACTCGTCGCCAAGGAACACCTTACTTGACAGGCGGGTAACCAGCTGAAGGGCGGAATCTGCAATGATAGCATCTATCCATTCTGATGTGTGGTTAGTTGGGAAGCTTCAAACCTCGAATATGGTGCTCACCTGGATCGTTGCCAAATATATAATCGATTGCAAAGGGGGACTCCTTAGATAGTGGTGTTGTCACCGCACCTAGAACATGTAGATTAGCTTTCTGGTACTCAAAGATTGATATGAATCCCTTACTCAAGTACTTGGTAAGCTGCTTTTTGACCACAATTTGCATGACTCTCTTTGGGTTTGAAAAGGCCAGAAAGGGTTTTAGGCCATATAGGTGGCCTGAAAAATCCTAACATTTCGATTTAGCGAAGTAAGATGTCTTGGTATAGGAATCAAATACTAACGTTTGCGAATGCTTTAGTGAATAACAGGCGACGTTCGTTGCGTATCAAGTTGGCATATTCTGGCGGAAAGACGGTGACTTCACCCCCACCGGTGATGAGCCTAAACGGCTGTTTCCCATATCGTTTGATGGCATTCTCGAATACCTTGTGATCGTTCGTCAGGAATTCGAGACGCTTAAATGTAGTAGGCTCGAACCAAGCAGGAGGATTGGCGATTGGATATTTTGGCTTTATGTTGAGGACAAAAAACGAAATCAAAGTAACGATGATCAGAGATATTGTGGTAACTAAGGGAAGAACCTATTTGATTGTAGCTAGAGATGGCTCTGATGAAAGATCGAGTAAACTTCAGGAGCTAGGGCCCGAAATGTTGAGAAACGGTCAGGCGATGGAGTTGGTTGTGCTTGCTGGTGTAGAGCAAAATGAGGACGTCATGTTTTATATATGAAGGGTACCTCATGTCTGTTGACCGGATGCGGGAATAGCACGGCCCATTAGTATTGCATCATTTATCACAATTTGGACCATAAAGAGAGAAATTTTCATGCACAGGAGACCCTACTAGGGCACCCTTGATAATGACCGTTATGAGGTTTAGCCATACTAGCAATCATCACTGTTTCACTGTAAGGAAAAAGGCGAAATGGCACCATTTGAACCTATGCAGAAATACCGACTTATCATTTGCCTACTTCGACTGTCTTCAATCATATCGGATTCAAAATAGAACGGCCTACGTGCTGGCCTGGTAGAATGTGCGTTCGCAAAATCTCGTCTATCCCCATACCTGTGTAAATGCAGTTGCACTGTCACTGTGCTATTATCACTACAATAGAATGGTTGGCATGGTCAATTAGGCCATATCCCTGATTTTACACGTCAATGCTCGGCTTCCTACAATTACCGTTCAGTACTATCTGGTTGCCAGACGTATAGCGCGTTAACAAAATCTCGCACATACCTTACTCTATGTAGCGTAAGTAAACGATGAGGTCCACGAGGGACGGGCTGCATCGTTGCCGGTTTTCATGTTCGGTAGAACGAACAAGGCGGTAGGACCAGGGTACGTAGTATGTAAGAAGGGTCCGGAAGGAGCGACGTTCCGGCCGACTTCTTGTTAGATGTAGTTGCAGTAGGCACAAGTACCCAACATAGAAGCCATGACCCGGTCCACGGTAAGAAAACTACTTCGGCTATTTTGAAGTACCTTTTACATTTACATACATCAAGAGCCGGTTCGGCTGTCCCTTCTTCGTTCCTATTCTGTTTCCAATTTCAGGTTTAGTAGCGCTTCAACGAGGCCAGCTAGAAAACGACGTTCCGTTCCGCGAAAACCAAGAGAACGCGGCCCGTTGAAACTACACTTACCAGATAGGCAATTTCGCACTAATATAGCGCTAACGGTCGCTAGTATTACTTTATGGCTATGATAGAAATATCTACGTTTGTTAGATACAGCGTCGTTTCCCTCTGCGTTTTCCAGACGGAGCCAAGGTTATTCTTAGATTCTGTCCAACAAAGGGAAAACGGAGCTGAACCGGACAGGCTCTAAATCCAAGGGTAACAGCAGGTACAACACTGTGTCAACTGTCTTGGTGATTTCAAAGCGCTCTTTACACTTACTGTGTATATGCGCATAGTGAGAACAAGAGTAACAGGGAAGACGGCATTGTACAAATTGCCTGGGCAATTTTGGAATACATTGGCAATTTTAAATTACCTCTTACTTGTACATGTGTACACTAAGAAAGAGAGCGTTGGCAAGGATGATACTGTACCAATCCATGCAGACATGCAAATGTGTTTGGTATTTTCCATGAAACAAAGGAAACTCCAATAGTAGCTATGCCGATGAATGCTTAGGTAAAGGTGACAATCGGATGGGCCAGATAGGGAGAAAAAGATAAGACTTTTCTCTCAACATCCATCCATAGCAGGGCTCCTTGGACGTGCTATGTGAAACTTGGGGCAAGGGCGATCACGGAGAACCTTAGATCACCACCCTTTTCACTTTCAATCCTCATCAGCCTTCCAATCCCTTTCTCCAGCGCACCAGAACTAAGCACATCTTCGTCATCGCCCAGTAGCCCCCGATCAAGCGGACCCTTGCGATCCCCTTCAAGCTCCCACAAATGCCCATCCTTGGCCTTGACAAACGCGACAAAATGCTGTCCACTATGTTCATCTGAAGTGGGAGTAGGTGAGGCAGTATCGCCAAGCTTTGCTGCATCGGCATGGGCCTTTTCGAAGGCATCCGAATCCTCGAGTACTTTGGCTCGTTCCCAGATGGGTTTTGGCAGCGCATCCGCACGAATCTGGTCAAGAGGGGAAGAAGGCTGGATGTGGTCTGATGCTGGGGTGTTGAGGAGACAGTGGACTAAGCCTATGCTTCCACAAGCGTTGCCGATTGTCTGCTTGAACCAGATGACGGGCTCTGTTTCACCCTTGCCTGCATACTCGGACTTGTCCTTGTCTTCTGCTGTGCGCGCCTCGTGCCATGTTGGGGTGAGTGGTATGATGACGAGCAGTGCTACGACCGGCCTAGGAATGACAGCCAGCATGTCCGGGTCAGTGAGAGAGTAGACATCGTGGAAAGAGAAGACGGATGTGTCGAGACCGAGGTCTTTCGCGAGATGGTTCATGACATGGGGGTTGTTTTCCAGCATGGTCCATAGCTTTTTCGCCATGGTGACGGTTTGTAATGAGTAAGGGTTATTTTGGAAGAGTTGATTTGGAAGACAAGTTGTTTGAAGTAATCTACTAGTAGGTGTGGATGCGTGCTCCTACTGTTTACACTACCTGGGACATGACTAGGCAACCACACACGCCACCACAGCCACTGCGGGATCAGTCGAAGCCGGATCACCAGCCTCGACTACCCCACACCAAGCCTAACCCGGCCCCCGCGGAACTGAGGTAGCCGGACACCACGTGACCATCACGAAAAGTAGCCACTTTTGACACGAATTATCAGTGCAACAACAAGATTAAGAGTGTAAAACGCTGCGTGCAAAGGTTTAATTGCGTGCAAAGTTGTTCATGTAAAAAACTAGTCCTTCAGCTGCGTGAGGTGCCCAGCTGTTTCGGTTCGGCGAGAGGCCGGATACCGGACCGTTACTTTTACCTACAATGCAACGCCATCCCATCAACATGTCTGCGATGCAAGACCAACATCTCATTCAAGAGGCTCTACCTCTGCAATTATTTTCCGACTAGTCCGTCTCATTCACTGGAATTCCCCCCACCACGAAGAAAACCGGCGGTTCCCCAAGAATGAATCCCCAAACACCTTTGCATCTCCACCGGCTCTCCGCAGTCGCAAAGTCCAGTAACCTCAATTGAGCGACAAGGCCCACGATTATGGCATACATATGTCCGAAGGATCTTACTTGCTCCTAGAATGACATATATCTCATCCATTTCTCTACTCGATTGACCCTCCCTTTGCAAATCAACATTGCAGAGGCACTACTACCGTGGACGCACCAGTACAAACTCACCACCCACACGAAACCATGGACGACGAAGCCCGCCAAGCGCTAGCCAGCATGAAGATGCCCCGCCGCCCCATCAACTTTGTCCCGGCGTCATCTGGCGAGATTCTCAAATTAGGCCACATCACGTGCCGCATCATGGAAGACGGCTCACGAACCGACAATCGTATTGGCAGCGCCGAGTTTACTCTGCCACCAAACACTCCCGGGCCGCCTGCCCACTGGCACGAGATGCATGATGAGACGTTTTTGGTAACTCAGGGTGTGGTTAGGGTATGTTTATTGTTCATCGTTATCCTCATTCCTGCCGATCGTCGTTATTACTATTGTCTGCATTCTTATCCTCACTCTTACCCTTATCCCCAAACCGTCTGTCCATATTTATAAAACCCCCCTAGTTCCACGGCCCAGACGGCGAAATAATCGATGCCCACGTTGGCGACTACGTCACGGCCCCGATCCGCGCACCACACACTTTCTCAAATCCAACCAATGAGCCTGCCAAATTCTTCAACACATATACGCCAGCCTTTTACATTGACTATTTCAAGATACTGGCGGAAATAAGCAAGACGGATGAGCGCATGAGCAAGGAGAAGAATATCGAGGTCATGAGTCGGTATGCGACGATACCGGCTGTGGAGATGATGGCAGAGCAAGAGAAGAAATGATCAAAGTGGTGGAGAGTCCAGATAGCGATAAAAACGGTACCAAGATCATGGGTCGTCAATCGAAAAATAAGAATAAACATTTTCAAATTGTTTTTTCTAGTACGGGGAGACATGATTTCCCAACACATCTTCTAGACTAAGGAAGATATGCGCATATACAAAACAATGGCCTTGGAAAATCTCCCTGACAGAAGAATGCTTAATTTGAAAAAAAGAAGTAAGTTGGTATCACAAACAAATGTACAAGAAATAAAAGTCAGGAACCACTTCCGAAAACAATTGGTACCTGATGTTTCCCGATCTCATCGCTAGAACCCTTAAGCTCGTAGCTGGAAAAGCAAAGAACAACATTGTCTGGTCCAGGGCGTGAGAATCGGTGGATCAATATGGGCCTAAGCAACCATGGCTTGGTTGGCGTAATCTGTGGTCTTGCCGTCTGATGCGGGGAGCCTTGCGTTTGCATGCGCAAGGCTTGATTGCGCGGCCTCCTTGAGTTGGGCTTCAACATTTCTCTCGTGCTCGCGCGTAGGCGGAGTGTTGCGAGAGGCAGAGGACTGCGCGTCATGCGGTGCGTCGTGTGGCTGCGTGGGCTGCGTAGCCTGTTCAGAGTGCTGGTGGTGAGATGGTTGATGTTGTGGAGTGTGTTGGCCATTGCTGTGTGAGACGTGTGATGGCGTAAGACCATGGTGCGACGGACTCAACATAACTGACGGGCTTGCTGTACTTGCGCGATCACCGGCCTCGTGATCACTTGTTTCACTCTGACCATTGCTAGCGGTTCCAGTGGGATAGGTATAGCCGCCACGCAACTCGCCCTCGCGAACTTCTCTCCATGAGCATTTTGCATGTTTCTTTGTACAGCCCATGCACGCTGTCAGATTTTTCAAGCAGTCCATATGTAATCTTCGACAACGGTCACAGGGTGGGACAATGCGCTCACCCTTGGCAAGACTCTCCATTCTGTGCACCATTTCAACCTTGAAAGGACCTCCGTCATCTTTTTCCGGTTGTTGGCTGGCGCGTTGGCTGGAGGCCGGGAGGAGGCTAGAAGGCGTGTTTGGTATTGGGACGGGTGAGTTCATCATGTTGTGTAGCTCAGATTCATTGAGAGGATGTGAAGGCCTTGCAATTGACTGTTGCGCGCCAGAAGGAGGGGTTTCGGCCGGCTTTTGCAGGGCCCTAGATGGGATTGACGAGGGTGGAGAGGGGTGGGATCCTGAATGACTGCCTATCGATGGTCTCCTCACTTCAACATTGCTGCTGGGAGGCTGCGATGACACACGCCGGTCATTCACAGTATGGAATTTGGATAGCAGTTCGTGGCGTGTAGATGACGAAGAACCATGGCCACGACTGTGACTATGCCCATGGCCGTTGGATTCGTGGTGCTGACGCGCATTGACGGCTACAAAGCCGCTGCTGCTGGGCGACGGGTGCGAAGGTTGGTTGTGACCCGGGCCTGCGACGCTCGAGTTGCTACCGTTCATAAGGGCGACGTTTGAAGGACTCGTAGGGCGGGGGATTTGAGGCGTTGGAGTCGCAGTAGCTCTGCGGTCCAGAATTGCCTGTTTGCGGCCTTTGAGGCGGTGGTTGAGCTGCCTTGTGCGAGCAGCAACTGGGAGCATTGGTTAGAACAGTCAAAAACGATTGCGAATTGTGTATTTGCTCAAGGTCGAGGACGCCTGGAGTGACAAAGGAAAGGGGTCGACTCACCTTGATCGGCCAAAGAGCATATTTGGCTGAGGTTCTTTTCCAGAATCTCCATGGTACCTAGCTCCTTCTCCTCGTCTTCGATGATGGGCTGTGGGGGGATCATCTTTTGGGGAATGCCAGATGAAATCAAGACGAAGTCTTCTTCTGAGATCTGGACCCGACATTGCTTGGTGTAGAACTGGCAGACCCTCACGCCCTCGCTCATCTGGTCGAGCTGAAACTGCTCGGGCTTGTTGCGCGCAAACTCAACCACGTCGAGCCAGGACACGGTGGTGCCATCCTTGCCATGGCTCTTGAGGACTCTGGGGGGACCGTCGAAGAGGCGCTCGAAGCGCTTGATGAGAATGGGACCCAGAGGGCGAGCGCCTAGGTTGCAGGCCATGCTCTCGTGGCGGTCGAGGACGCCCTGGTAGTCGCTGAGCAGCGAGAGGATGTTTGGCAGCGTGTCATCGTTGGTGATGAGGGGCAGGTCGTTCTCATTGTGCCTGGCAAGGTAGTTGATCTGCAAATGGTTGTGCTTGGCGGTTTTGGGCAGTGGCGCAGGCGCCAGGTGCATCTCGTGCGAGGGACTGCGTTTGCGCTTGAGGTCGCTGGGCATGTGCGAGGCATGGTGCTGGGGCGGGTGGGCAGACATAGGACGGTCGTCGTTGTTGGCCATGGCTGCTAAGCCTTTGGGGGGAGGGAAGATGGGCTAGGGATGCTGACGAGGTTTGCTGCTCTGGTGGGCGGAATGAGCAAAGGGCAGCTTTCAAAGGCGGCGGAGCGGCGGACGCTAGCGAGCAGCCAACTCAGCTGGGCACGGCGCGAGAGGGCTAGGCGAGTTGCACGGGAGAGCGGAGGCCGCAGGCTACCGAAGCAGAGACATGTCACGCAGAGGGGCACAGCGCGAGGGGAGAGGAGTGCCGGAGGGTGGAGGGTGGAGGAGGAAACAGCAGTGGAGAGCGTGGGCGAGGGAGGGAGATGAACGGCTCGTCGGTGGCTGAAGGCGCCCGAGTGGCTGCACGGGAAGAAGCAGAGAGAGGGGTGGGCAGCCAGAGGGCGGTGGGCATGGGCGGTGGGCGGCGCACCGGAAATAAGGACGAGCTTTTTTAACAGAGCGGAGTTCCTTGCCAATCAGAGCAGGCGAGTAGGGCACTCTGGCATGGCCTGGCCCCAGCGTGGCCCTGTGATAAGAGGCGCATCGTTGGCGATTCAGGCGGTGCCGACTGCCCGGCGGCCTCGCACAGCTCCAACGGCCATGAGACGGCCTGAAACTGAGCCATTAACGCTGCTGAAGACTCGAGCGCCGGCAAAAGAGTGCGTGGCCATACTATATTGTCCTATGAGAGGGCGTGCCAGCAGCCAGAAGGCCTGGTCCGGCGGCATTGGTCTGTCCCGAGACGCGACGAAAATACCGCAGGGCCCACGCGTCGCCTGCGACTGCGACTGCGACATGGCACCGGCGGCGGAGTCGTCTGCACTGTGGATGCGAGGGGCGGAGATTACCTCCGCCTGCCCCGGTCTGGTATCACGTGACATGGCGGGACAGCCACACTCAGCCACGCCCCCTGCCACACGTAACCCCCCAGCAACCCAGCACCCCTCTGCACAGACCACCTTCTTTTGCTGCCAGCTCCCGCCCGCACGTCACTACAAGCCCTTCCATATCGCCTAGACTCGTCACTCTCTCCCAACCCCAATACAATGTCTGAGCGAGGCGCTTTTCGCGGCCGAGGCGGTGGCAGAGGAGGCGACCGCGGTGGAAGGGGCGGCGGTCGTGGAGGAGGTGGAGGCGGCGGAGGAGGAGCTCACGCTGGCGGCCAGACGGAGCGCCCCAAGAAGGAAAACATTCTCGACTTGAGCAAGTACATGGACAAGCAAATTACTGTCAAATTCAGCGGAGGCCGAGAAGGTAAGAAGGGCAATTTGGTCCTTTTGCAAGCACCAGTGGGGGCTAACTTCCCCGCAGTCATTGGCACATTAAAAGGCTACGACCAGCTTATGAACCTTGTCCTCGACGAGGTCAAAGAGGCTCTTACAGGTATGCGAGAGATTAACATACACACCCTGGCATCGCTAACCACCGCAGACGAGGATGGCAATATCCGATACCGCAAACTCGGCCTCATCGTCGCACGCGGTACCCTGCTCGTCGTCATCTCCCCCGTGGACGGAAGCGAAGAAATCGCCAACCCTTTCTTGCAGGAAGAAGAGTGATTGCCGACCATTACCAGCGGCAAGGACAGCAGGCTCACGTGTGCGCTGTGAGCAGCAAACAGAGAGCAGCCAGTGGCGTCGATCAAGCCAACGGCGTCGACCAGGGGCGTTGAAAATAGGGCTGGAAACCCAACACGATACCCACGAGGGACATGCGCGACGAATGCAAGGACAAGATGCGGCTTCTAAGCTGTGCATCGATGACAAGTTAGACGGTGACATGCCCACGACGGGCATGCTTGCCCGTTGCATCCCTACCATTGAACGTTGTGAATCAAAAATATAAAATCACCGATACTCCACTTACTAGTGATGAGGTCTTTCAAAACCACTAAATTCGTCATGGACTGTGCGCAGCACTACCAATTGACCATGCATTCGCCTGTGTACATGTTATGTTTCTTGCATGATTACATCCCTAGTTGCTCTTTCTTACGCTGGCCCCTTTCGCTTGCATACACGCCTACCCCTCCCCTGTCGTATTCAAGGCTAATCGGGAACATGTGGCTGAACCAGTCGTGCCATGACTCTGCTGGTTCGCCGTGTAGTATGTACATTAAAAGCAATGGTTCGCGCAGGCGGAAATAGCAATGTGGCTGTGCTGTCTAGTTACGACGTAGCTGGCACCGACCCCATCTGCGGCGCTTCCTCCCCGTTTCACATGGCCTTTGGGCACGTATGCACCAGGCACCAGGCACCAACATATTGACACAAACATAAGCTCAGCTCACACCTGCCGTCGCTCGTTTCATCTCGTCCCCCTTTGCACATGCCCAAATTCTTGTTCCTCGCGATCTCAGCCAACAAAATATTGCCTGCTGCCCTGTGACGCTTCGTCTACCCACTTTCGATCCCTTTGGCCACTTGCTTACTACCAGATGCCAGCCTGGTATTCACCATGACAGCATTAGCAACTTTGGCATCACCATGGCCAGCATGGACAGCCGTAGCATCTACCATGTCTGCTGCAAGCCTCAGAATGGAAACATGGTTCATCACACTGACGGCGATACTCTTGCCCCTGGTCGTCTTCGTAATCACCATCCACCACCGCCAGACGCAACAACGAGAACAAAAGCCGTTTCCCTTTCTAGAGTTACCCCAAGAGTTACGGGACATGGTCTACGAACACTTTCTCGATGACCCCGTATACCCCGCGCCACCACGCCCATCATTTCACGCACCTTCCGTAGTATCGTGGATGAACCCGAGCCGCTGGACCTTATCAACACCATCACGCCCCCGCCAACGCAACAACAAATGCATCTTCCTCACCAACAAGCAGATCCACGCAGAATACATGGACATGCTATGTAAACGCCGCACCTTCCACTTTTCCGTCTCCCCAGAAACCTACAAATCTCTCCCTGCCACTCCTCTGCCCCCTCCTCCCCCCACCACTACCGTCTCAACACCAGAACCCACAGACGTCTGGAACATCTCCCCCGCCACCCTCTCCAAAATCCGCCACTGCTCCCTCAGCCTCATCACCACGTCCGCTATGCTCGGCGTCACAGACCCACGCTCCATGACCTCATCGTCTTGGTCTCTCGGCCGCCGCATGCGCCAACAGCTCAAACACATGTCATCCATCCAGACCTTCACGCTCGACGCAAAAGCCCTCGGAGACCCCCTCTGGAATCCCCTGTGGATCTGGTACCACGCCTCGCAGTCGCTCAAGCTGCTCGGCACAGACATGTCGGATACGGTGCCCCGGGGCCCTCAGCTGAGTCGTATCACCTTTTCGCTGGATACGTGGTCGCCCGGTGAGAATTATCTCGAGAGGCAGCCCGAAGGCTGGACGTGGTATTGTGCAAGGGGACATGCGGTTGCCACTGATTTCGGGCACGACATGACGGTCAGGGAGTTTTGTGCAAAACTGTACAAGGAGTGTAGCGTTTGTTGGTCGGTTGCGGAGGAGGAGGATTTCTTGTAGTACAGCTTCCTTCTTTCTACGTATCTTACTATTACCTATTTCGAGTAACAACACAGCGACGATTTTCCTTTTCTTTTTCTATTTCTCATCTTTTTTACGTGCTATCCAGAACGAAGGACGATAGGTACTCTGTAGCATACTCCGCGTGTTTGTAATATACCCTGTTTGAATCGTATCCGTCTCCTGCCTCTCTATACTAAAGCCAAAGTGCTGCACCAGCGCAATCACTTCGTCGTTGGTAAGTTCGAATGACCCCGGGTCCCCTATTCCCGCATCGCCTTCTATCCTACTCGCTTCGCCTTCGTCCCCTTCGCCATGATCTCTGCGAGGTGGCGGCGGGTGCCATAGCAAAGGACCGAGATTCACCCATATCCCGCCTGGCTTCAGGCAGTTCGCCACAGCCTCAATATATCGGATGAGATTCGGGGCAGTATCGATAAAGAAGACAGTCGTAACTACATCGAATACACCTGCATAGTCCGATCGACCATATACGACACAAAAGTCGCCCATGGACATGCTCATGCGGTCCGAAGCCGGCACTCGCGACGCCTGTTCCTTCCCGAGTACCGTTGCCGGATGCACATCCGGTATCTCGACCGTGCGCAGCTGATCCGCCCGCGAGACATGGTTGGAGCTGCCAAGTGCCCAGGGCGCAATGGAAAACTGATGTGCATGTTTTGTCTCGTTGAGCACGAGCGCGCTGGCCATGAGCATGTGGTACGAGATTTCGTTGCCCTCGACGCTGAATCCCACGCGGCAAATGTCGAAGACGAGACGCCCGAGGCCCACGCCTGGGACTAGGACTCTGAAGTCACCGCGATCAGGTTCAGAAACTGGATCCTCAGCGGTTTTGGCGCGCAAAGTAAATTCCTCCTGCAGAGCCGATAGAACAGGGTCAAAACAAGCTTTCCTTTCCTCCTGGCCCGACTCACTCCATTCGCGGTAGAATTGGTTGACACAACTCCGTGCCTTTTCCAGGTCGTTTTGGCCCGCTTTGTTGCCCCGGCCATCTGCTATGAGCGCGTCTAGCACGATATCGAAGACCTTGAACTCGTCGCGCGCATACTTCTCGGGAACAATGGAAGCAACCCATTCGCTATCCAGAGTGGGTGCCAGGAATGACTTGAATCCCGCGGCAAATATGGCTTCAGCTAGGTTGGCGTTCTGGTCGATTAGATCGTCTACAGCGGAGAAGGTAGCAAGGAGGGAGAAGGGGGGCTGTGAGAGGAGGGTCCAGTGGGCTGAGGGGAGTGAATAGAAGGCTTGGCGCCGTGTGTGAGTAGCATGGTAGTGCGCGTGGCGGCGGTAGGAGCTGGATTACATGTGTTAGTCGAACTGTGCAAGTCGAGCCAAAAACGATATGTACCGGAATGAGTCTAGAACCGAGATGATGAGTTTCTGTTCTTCGGGATCAGATGTGGGATCGTAAGTATCGTGCAAATCCTCCTCTTCCATTTTTTTTCGTTATAGTTTATAACTTTGATTATTGGTAGATATTTGACGTATGACGTATCAGGATATTTCTTTCCGGAATGAATGGTAGCCACACCCTGTTGTAGTCTATATACGTTTCAAGTGCTGTATAGATAAGTGACTTTTGCAGAGAGCTTCTATCTCTATCTTTTTGTTACCCCACGTGCAGCCGTATTCTCCACACTCGCAAATTGTAGGCCTTGACACGTTGAAGCGATGAGATCCGGGATATTGAAATTTATTATGATCTCATTATCAGCGGAGGAAATTTGTCACACGGAGGATATCTGAGAAGTCGCCGGTTCGCTCGGGGGAATCTCTTGTTGGAGGGTGTGTGACGCCACCAGGTACGGACTAGTAACAGTGCTACTACCCCACCTGCCACTTTCCCACCCACATACAAAGCCATAGCACGTCTCTGCAACCTCACTTTCTACGGCGCGCCATGGCTACCTCAAACTCCCAGATTGGCGCGTCGCATGCGCCCATACAAGTGTCTTTTCCTTTGCCCAAGGCACCTGCCACAAATATCCACCTGCAACTCACAAACAATGGTCCCAATCTCGTCGTCTTCCTCACCACTTCGACAGCTGAATCGGCGTCTTCTGCTCCCATGGGCTCCCTTGTATACGCCATGCCCAATGTGCGTCTTCAATACCTTGTCATACACGTACTAATGTGCTTGCTACGCGCAAATGCTAAATCGTCATACACAGAAAGTCACACCTGCCGAGACACTGAGCACGCCCCTCTTCACCCACGGTTCGACGCTAGACTTCACAACACGGTTATCCAAGGTTCTTGCGCGTAAGATAGGGAAGCCTGTATACGTAGGGAATTCATCAAGTTTTGCGAGTGCAGGCATGGGCGGGACAGTCGAAGAAGAGATGGAGGGGTTTAAGAGGGTGGTGGAAGTTGTCATGAGGCTGCTGAAGGAGAAGAAATAGAGCATCGAAAACTGGAAACGCAAGAATATTGTAAAACATCTATCAGGGTGGTCTGTGAGTGGGTGGCAATCGTAATCTCACCAATGGATGCCGCTAACAGCGCTCAAGGTCAAATAACATGCACGGTCAAGGCTGAAGACGCGAGGCGTAAAGCGTTATTGTCATTGACGGTGCTAAAACACTCATATTTACCGACTCGGCTCAATGCCTTCCCTCCTCATCGATCCTCCCATAGGCATCAAGCCCTCGTATTGCATAGTCATGAGCGGCTTACAACTGTCCGAGCCTCTCCTCGGCGCTCTGCTTAGCTTCGTCGGAAACGTTAGGGTTCTTCAGAGTAGCCTTGAGGCCGCCAGCGACATTGTTGGGGTTCTTGTCCTGGTCGCTGGTGGACTTAGAGGTGATTTCACCGCCGTTCTCGAGATCCTGGAGGACTTCCTTGGAATGCTGCTTGGCTTCCTCCGAGGTGTCTGGCACGAGTCAGTGAGAGTATGAGAGAGAAGTGAAGGGAAACCAACTGGGGTTGTTGATGTTGGCCTTGTGGCCTCCAATGACGTTTCCGGGGTTGGCAGACATGCTGATGGTTGTTGGTGGTGAAGTTTGAAAGGTGGTGTTGGTTGGATGTTTGTTGTGAAGATGGATGAGTTGCTAAGTTGATGGTGAGAGCAAAGACGAAGAATTCAGGTCTTCTTATACCCTTCCAGAAGACTGATGTTCACCATGCCTTTGTTCTCGCAACGTCGTCATCGTCACCATCGCGCGATCTGCTACATGGCCTGGATACTCCTACGTCAACGATCGGATTGCTGCACATCAAACAATGAGATCTCAGATGCACATCTTCACCGTACGGCCCGAGGAGTCTAGAGTCAGGTACACAGTGCGATGGGACTAGCCCCTTGCATTTCATGAAGACATCATGACCCCCAGATGATCGTCCCGACAACCCAGGGACACAAGCCCCATCAACGTACTGCAGCCAATGTCGTGCGACTGAGCGACTAGCACGCACATGGCGCATATAGGGAAGTTTCAGATACCCATCCACTGATGCATAGGCAAGCCGGAATCCCATCTTGTCCCTGACCCAGTCGCCCAGCCGTCTCCCCCCTTAGCGGGACCCGCTTTGCGGCGTACGATCTAAGATCTCAGATCTCAGATCTCGCATGCAACTGTAGATGGCCGTACTGGGGGTGGCGGGAAAAGACAAAGCTACCTCTTTGCTACCTCAAAGAAAGGGTGTATCGCAAACTTTGGCAAGCCTCAGTCGTTGCAATCACAATCAAAGAGCAATGGCAAAGGTGATGTCATTGGCGTGTGTGTAATATGCACGTGATTTGGCGTTTACGCGCAACGCGATGACGGTGCTAGCTATGCACGTTGTACGCATGCAAGTACACGCGGATGTATGGACATAGAGTACTTGCCACACAATTGTGGTTTCAACACTCTTCTTCACCGCTACAAATGCCACCATCTCCGATCACAGTATCCTTACCGGCTTGTCAATGGACTACCAGAGGCCACACAGAAGACACATTGCTTTTTGATTCCCGCCGTCATCATAGTCGTCATGCTACCCGCTTGGGCCATGCTGACGCCTTACACACCGACTTCATGTAGGACCTGCACAAGTAGAGTATGCCACTGACGTCTAGGCACACGTGATAATGAAGGTATGATTATTTCACCATTTGCTACTCTTGGGGATCGATGACGAGCTTCCCCTTGACTTTGCCGTCAAACACATCTTGGCTCGAGTGCTGCAACGCTGACAGTCCACCTTGGACCTTGGTAAATCTTACTGGCTCTACGAGACCTCCTGAAAGCACTCTGGGTAAGTATTCTTGGTACCACCAGTCACGCCATTCCGAGTACTCATCTTTCTGCGCCGCTTGCGAGAAAGCCGTGTATATGAGGTTGACATTCGCAGGCAGCTCAACGGCACCAGGTAGAACACTGGCGAAACTGCCTCCTGTAGGCTCAAGAAGCGATGCCAGTGCGCTTTGGGAGGCTGCATCGCCGCTTGTAGTGAAGAGGTACTTGTACGGTCCCAGACTGCGTAGCTTGGCGACTGCATCAGTGTCTTTGTAGTTGACCACCTCGCTGGCTCCTAGCTTCATCTGGCGCTCAACATCCCGCGGCGATGCTGTGACGACTACTGTATACCCGGCCTTGAACTAGTCAGTCTGACGTTCAAGTCGTGGAATCGACAGCTTACTTGTTTCGCAAATTGGACTGCATACGAACCAACCGCACCTCCAGCACCCCAGATCAGCACCTTTTCTTCTTTTGCTCCACTACCGGGCTTTCCCATTCCAAGGAAGACGTGCAAGGCAGCGACCGCTGTTTGCAACGGAAAATCGACCAACACGGCTTGTTCGAAAGCGACATGGCCAATCTGCTTACATATCAGCCAAGTGACCGATGTTGCGAACTTTAGCCTTGAACAGCACACATACCTTTGCTACGGTTTTGGCATCGCATGCGACCAGCTGCTGCCAGGTACCCGTCCTTTGGTTGTTGCTGGCATCAACATATGCTTTGGTGTCAAAGACTACCCTATCACCCACGGCCAGTCCTTGTACGTGTTCGCCTACCGCTTCGATGATGCCCGCGCCGCTGGTACCAAGAATCGCGGGGTATGCGAGGTGTGCAGCTGGGCCGTAACCTGCAATCAGCATCTTGGCATCGAGAGGCTGAAGCGCGACGGCATGGTTTCGGATTAGGACTTCGCCTAGACCGGCATGTAGGGTGTCTGCATCTGTTATTTCTAGAGGCTTGCCGGGGCTGCTGAGGAGGGCGGCACGATGGGTATTGGCCATGTTTGTAAATAATCTTTATTTAATCTGATAATATAGTTGTATATCTATTCGAGCATCTAAGCTGCTCAGAGTCAAGTAGTAGTAGTAGTAATAGTAGTAGTTTACCTCTAGTCCAGGTCTCCTACGCCATCTTTATGTATGTACTGCTGGCGCTCGACCTTCCCATTTCTCCAGCGTGCGACAAGCGCTTTTTCCAGTGCTGCTAATGTAAGTATTTGCAATGTCTTTGCAATGCACTTGCAACGACTGACTATCGCGCTCCTGTTGTGGCTTTTGCTAAGGCACGAGTGATGAGATAATCGGTTGGGCGTCTTTAGTAAGCCAAAGCGTGTAAGGAATGGGAATGACGCGCTGCACTTGATTGCTTGACAACGTTGTGTCAGCATGCTTTTGGCCGGCAAAGTGCATTAATTACCCCTTTTTCTGGCGGTCCCAAGCTAATTAAGGGCTGTTGTGGTGGATGCCCGGACCCGATGGACCCATCTGCGTCTCGGCAAGGTACCCACCACCCTAGATTCCTTGGGCGGTATCGTTCCTCATCTGAATCAAGCCATTACCATGGAGAAATCATGGGTTTCTCACAATGGGCATCGTGCTATGCGCTGTTCTCACTGGCCAAGGCCCACCGCGCCTAGTGGAAATCCCAAGCATACGTAGCTTGTGTACGCTTCTCGCCCAACCCGCGAGGTGACTGTTGACCGCCAGATGCATAGTCGCAGCTCTTGGAGGCTTATTGCAACCCGGTGTGCGGAATGCGAAGCATGACTTCCTTGACATCAGATTGCGCCGCCAGGCTCCGGTTTGGGCAAACTTCTAGAAGAACAGGTGGTTGGCGGGAGGGTTATCCCTGGTCTCTCGCTCCTCACTAATCCGCAAGCGAGTGCAACACGACTGCTGACAAAACACCCGCCTGCATCATCATCACCAGGTGTCGGGGTACATCTCACAAGTTGTGCACATGGGCTTGCAAGCGGCAGAGATGACTTCATGGCAGACAGATCGGGAGGAAAAGTCCCGCATGACGGCGTGCAGCTGGCTGGACGGCGGAATTTTGACGCGAGCTGAGTAACCCCCCCTGGCCCGGCAACTACCTAGTACACCTCGTGTTAAGACAGCTAATATTAGCGACCCTTTAACCACCTAACTGTCTTATTCGCCCGTGCGTTTGACTCGAGCCTTGGGCCGGTACGAAATCATAATGGAACGGCTCTCGGCGGACCAATCGACTGTCAATTGCGCCCAAAAATTACTCTGGCTTATCCAGATACCTGGATCGGCCATACCGACCACGGGTAGCGTTCACCACACGGCACGCGCGCCACACCTGCCATGACAGAGTTGCACAATAACCTTTTAGTCGTCTTTGCTCTGCGCGCCTAGTCTTGAACGAGCGACCCGCTGTCTCTGGCTATTTGGCATGCTTATCACAGGGACGACAAAGCAGACTTCCGTCAAGAACCGCCGAATGCGAGAAGACACCAGAATGGAACTTCGCCATGTATATGTATCGGTTTCGTATTGGGCTGTGAAGCGATGATCAAACACTCCAGCCGTCCAACCGGTTGTCCATATCTGTATCCCATATCCCACATCCGTCACCATCCAGCCACAGCCAGACTTGGACCGGCATACTCTGCTACTTGGCCTGCAACTCTGACGGCATACACCAAGTCTCGTGCGTGCGGCTCGAAATAAGCATCTGACACACCAGCAGCCCTACAGCATCCCGCTGCACTTTGCCGACCGTGCATTCCGAATACTTGGAGAAGAGAGTGGTCCCGACGCCACACTTCTAAAAAAGGCATCCGCACACGCTCCTACCCCATCCACCGGCTCCGCTACCAGTGTCACTCTTTCCAGCACTACGGGTCCCGGCTCACGACCCAAGACCAAAATTGGCTGTTACATAGTCCAATAGTATTCAACCTTGCTGCTCAGACAAACGGACGCTTGGGCCTCACAAGACGTGCGGTGGACGACTTGCTCGAGTGATGTGATATTCGGCCGGCTTAGGACATCTTCTCTATTCAGGATTCACTCTCTCTGTTACCGATTCTTAGTGATCTTGAAACCGGACTTCAATGCGATCGAGATTGGGGGCTCGTGTCGTCGTCGACGAGGATATAAGGACTGGATTACTTTCAACTCAAGATATCATCATCACCCAACACAACAACTACATTCAACCATCACCACACTCTTACGCTTACGACCTCCCGAAAAACTGCAAGCAGTCTGTCAAAACATTACGCACTCTTCGAACCACCTCCTCGACTAGGACAACCATCAACCACTTGCGACTTTCCATTATATGAGTGATAGCCCCTCCGAGACTCCAAGCGCATCAAACTCCACAAAGCCTACCGATACCAACGACACATCTCGAACCAGCCCTCTCGCAGGCTCTTCTACCCGTCAAGACTTTACGGAAACTCCTCAATCTACCGCTGAACAAACCGTCTCCACGCCAGTGATTGTTATCACTAATCCACATACACCTTCACCCGAGTCTACTCCTCGACCAAACCGCTCCATACTTGTGCGTCACCAATCAACAGGTACTTTAACTTCTTCGCAATCTCCCGGTCAACAAGGCTCCTCCAGACCTTCTGACCGTCTACAACGATCGCATTCTCAACCCATCGAAGCAACTAGCAACAACACTACAAATACAATGTCTTCTTCCGCCTCTTCTCCATCTGGCACCTCTACTGCTGGCAGCAACTCTGGATCTGGCCAAGGCTACCAACTCCCTTATGCTCCCTTCCCGTACCCAATGCCTGCCCAACCCCGAGGAGGCCAGCAGCAAGGAGGCCAGGGAAAATAAAGCGCTTCACATGAATTTCCTTTCGTAGTTGCATTACTCGGGTTGCATTTGAGATTTTTTTTTCCCCATTCTCATGATCCGGCAGACATGAGCGGTTCACGGCGCAATTCCTCTTTCCACTCCATCAACAGCATATGTCCGTTCAATTTCTGGGAATTTCTTTCCACTTCGTTCTTTGTACGCATTCAGCCCATTGTATCTCCCATCACTTGGAACCAGCATTTCTCCACTTCTTCTCGAATCTTTTCTTGCATCTTTTCCAACCGTCAATATCTCACGATAGCACTGTTTCCATCCCGGCCTCTACTTCCTGCATTCCCGGTGTTTTTTGTCCACTTTTTTGAGTTCTTACTTCCACGTCATCACGATCTTTTGGCTTAGCATGATGCGCGGGATATCATCAATTTCTTGTTTGGGTTTAGACTTTGCATAGCTGGCGTTTGGTAATTTTTCGAGTCCGTGTTCAATATCTTGTTTTCATGCCATGTGTCCTGCACAATCAGGCCACTAGCCTGTTGTTTTTAGTGTACTAGCTACATCTAACATGGGTAGAGCCTGATGCAACGGTCGTATAGCAAGACTAGCCACTCTTTTCTCGCATGTCAATATTAAGAAAATTTCCGCACATTTCCATTACTACATCGCTACGTGTTTCAGGATGTTGGTGTTTGCTTTGCGGTTGAGCCAATCAAGCCAGGTGTATACTGGATAGTTTTGTAAGTCATGAAAAATGTACCAGATGTACCCTAGCCTTTTCTCGACACCATGGTCTATTTTTAGCACCATGCGCTCGTATTCCAAGGGGAATGCTCCGCGCAGGCTCCATACAGGGGCGCTAGCAGCCACCAATACTTGAAAATCGATGTGGCTATTGCCTTTATAGGCTGGAGAGTGATACTTGGGTTCGATCTGCCAATACCATGCCGAGAGGACACTATTCCTGATGGTGAAGGTCAAAGTCTCGTGCCAATTGCTTGCCCGTCACGTGCAAGGGCTGATCTGCCATGAAGCGATCCGATGAGAATGCAACGTTACTGCACGTTCCCCGCGCAAAGCATTCGGTGCATTTGTGCTTTGACCAGACGGCATTGCCGTCGATGTCGTTGTCGTCAACCTGTGACGGTGACGGTTCAATGTTGATGTTGCAGTCGATCGGCGCAGAGGAGAACTCCGACCGTCTGACTAAGCGACAGCCGTTGAACATCGTCATCCGCGCCAACTTTCCTCACACGGCCCACGCGACAACGCGACACTACCGTCTCGCGCAAATCCCCCTGTATCGCTACTAGCCTTCTTGAACCACGCTTTTTTTAAAGCCTCTCACCCGGCTTATCCGTTGATCGACCTACCGATAAGGCCTCTGCAGACCAGTTGACGACCCGCTGCCTGCCTCCCTGACCTCGTAATCCCCCGTACTACCGTCGTATCGGGCATCGAAAGATCGCACCGTCGCCTGTCTCTCCATCCGGCATCACGCCTGCATCACATCATCACAGCCGTCATGGCACCTTCACGGTCCCGCGCCTCACTACTCTCTCTCCTCGCTGCTACATCGCTCCTCCCCCAGACGGCATGGGCCTTCGAGTGCGATAACATCGTCGCTGATGGCGCACACTTCAACTTCAAAGAGCTAGGTGGGCCCCATACGGTACATTGGGAAGAATCGGACCTGGAAAAGGAGCTTAAGTTCAAGTACAACTTCACCCTTGATGTCTGCAATGCCCTCAAATGGCACAAGGGTGGCTCACTCGATACCGAGTGCCACCACGGCGCAAGGGTATGCGCCATTAGGGAAATGGTTGATCTCAGCAAGGAGAACAGTACAAGCATCACGCCCATCGATATCGCAGGTTCCTACCCAATGCAGAATGGCCGAACAATCGACGCCAAGTTTGAGAATCTAGGTCATTCAAAGAGTAACTCTGATGCGCGCGAGGGTGTCCGAGCGACTCTGAACGGCGGCCGATTTCCATTTGATGACAAGAAGGAAGGCATGAATCAGCGCGCCATTATTGAGTTTGTGTGTGATAAGGAGAGGTCCGGATCCGAGGGCAACGAGGTGGACAACAGCCCGCATGAGGATGGCGACAAGGATGACAAGGACGGCGATAAGAAGGATGATAAGAAGGACGACGACAAAAAGGATGATAAGAAGGATGACAAGAAAGAAGGCAAACTCAAGGCAAGAGAGGAAAATAGCAAGGGCAAATGCGAAGATAGTGACGCCAGTCTTCGCTTTTGTGGGTATGAGGTGGAGCCTGACACCAAGGACAAGAAGGTCCGCACACTGCGCTTGGAGTGGCGGACCAAATACGCCTGCGCAGATGCGCCTGAGCCCGACAACGGTTCCCACTGGGGCTTCTTTGGCTGGTTCTTCATCATGTATGTGCACCCTTCACCCTTCTCTCCTCTTCTACACCCATCTCAAATTCAAGAAACTAATCACATATCGAAAAATAGCCTCTTCCTCGCAATCGCCGCATACCTCATCTTCGGCTCCTGGCTGAACTACAACCGCTACGGTGCTCGTGGCTGGGACGCGCTACCCCATGGTGATGCGATCCGCGACATCCCTTACGTTGCAAAAGATTTCGCGAGAAAGGTGATGGATACGGTACAGGGCAGTGGCAGTAGAGGTGGTTACGCTGCTGTGTAAAAACTCACTTTTTCTTCAATCTGTTTTTATTTCCATCACCATCACAAACATACACATGCATTCGCATCTACTATAGATTGATGTTTGAGCGGGTAAGATCACCTGGGGCTGTGTGCTGTTTGTGCAGAAGGAAGGGGGTGGGCTGTGAAGGGGTAGAGCAAGGATGAAGTGAAGTACATTTGCATTCCATGGCGTGTTTGTAGGGTCCTGTGCAGAGATAGTTATATATTTTTTCTTCAGGCTTTCACATGGAATCAAGCTGTAGTCGTTATCTTGAAGACTACTTGATTAGTGCGTTTGTTGGAACTCATCATTTCGATTTGATACAAAACCAGACTTGACGATGATATCTAAGCTGATCATTGCTTTAAAGGATATAAAACTGCCCAGTGGTATATTAGCGATAGTTGCAAAGCTATCGTTATCTAATTCTCATAACCCGCCTGGTTCATGAACGGGCTCCTCGCACGTATACTCCTCCCATATCTTAGCAAAACCAACGGAATGCAACTCAACGCCAGGGCCACAAAGCCCAATAAACTGCTAGCCCACTGGAAACCGAGTGCACGATACAAATCCTGCGTTGCCAGTGGCAAGAACGCTGCCATCGTGTTCTCGAGAAAAGCAATGCCGGCAATTGCACTGGCTGCATACTTTGCATAGGCATCGACGACATACGACGTCACTGCGGCTGTACTGCAAAACATGCCGAAGCCCACAAAAGCAAGTGATATGCCAGGGACAATCCACGGTATGGAGGAATAAGATGTCCAGGCAAAATAGAAGAGACCTCCGCTTAAGCCAATGAAGGACGCGGGAATACTCAGGTAGAGGCGAGCTTCCGGTATCGGTTTGCCCGGGTTTTCTGTATTTTGTCTGCCAGATGCGAAATAGATTCGGTCTTGCACCAGCGATGCGAAAAGCCCTATGAGTTCGCCAATGACGACCGCACTCTGGACTAGGCCTGTTCCAAAGAAGGTCCAGCCATAGAGTTCAGAGAAGACTTGGACGATAGACTGCGTGAACATGAAGGCGGTTCCTATGCAGAATGCGCTCCAAAGGCCGAACGACAGCACTACGCCTTCCGTACAGAGCATACGTGAGGGTCGAACGAGCGTCTCTTTGAGAATGTCGCGGAAACTCGTCTGTTGCTTTTCGGCTACAGTGTAGACTTGCTTTCCCGTGCTCGCGCGTATATGACGGGCGCGCCGCGTGAGAATAACATCCGGTCGGACTTCTGGAAGTAGCAAGAACAACACTGGTATTAAGGAGGCGTAAAGGATGATTTGGCCCAGGAAGATCCTACCGAACTCGTCAGTGTCTACTACCGCACTAGCATAGCCATCATCTTACCATCGCCAAGTCGTATACCTCACCACCAAACTTCCAAACACAGGCCCCATATTCAACCCCGCCAGCAACGCAAATATATACAACGACGTACAGAAACTATGCACTCGCCCCGGTCTCCAAACATCGCTTACAATCCCCGACGTGATATTCGCCAGCACGCCCGCACACGACCCCGTGATAATCCTCGTAAGGATCAACGTAGCAAAATTACGCGCCAGCGCTTGCGGAACGATAAAGACGATCATAACAGCATAGATGATCATGTAACTCCATCTCACGCCGAAATTCTCCATCAGAGGGAGACCTATCAGAGGCGCTGCTGCGCCGCCGAGGTTCCAGCTTAGCACCGGCCAGTACGAGTGCGGAAATGCTTCGTCGCTGATGGCGAAGCTGGTGTTTATTTGCGGTGCGGCGGATGTGAGCATTGTGCCCGAGACTTGGACGAGGAAGGTCATGCTGCATGCGAGGAGGGTTGTGCGCCATTTTTTGCCCCGACGGAAGTTGAAGGGGTTGGAGGGGTCAGAGGGGGAGGCCCAGTTGAGGTAGTTTGGGGCTGAGTCTGCGTCGGCTTCTTTGGTTGGGTCGAGTGGAGGTGTTGGAGATGGTTGTTTTTCGCGTGTATCATGGGAGGAGATGCTGGATGAGGAGCGTGAGGGAGTTGGTGAGGATTGCATTGTGGATGTGAAATTAGTTATGATGACTGGAATAGTCTCAAGTATTATGGTTTCTTCTTCCCCAGTCGGCAGAGATGCTGGACGGCCACAAGACGTAGTAGGTCTTAGATAAAGCGGCAATTACTACCACTGAAGATTGATGGAGTGCCAGTGGTTCGACAGACTAGAGTATAACAAGACCCTAGGATAAACAAGCTTTATGATGCCGAGAGATCTCTTAGTTTATCAACAGTTTGAAAAGCGGTCCAGGATGTATAGCTTGTATGTAATAGTCGAGAACAGGTGGTGAAATCTCGGAGGCGAAAGGATGCCAATCTGGTTTTTGCCATCATGAGAAGCGGATGATCCATGCTTTGAATTGCAGTGCAAACTGACATGGTTGTGTGACATCATACCTGATGAGGCGCTTGACTGGAAAAAAATGAGCGATGGGATGGTAACTATAACGTAAGAAAAAGCTTGTAAGCGGGCAAATAGAAGGCTTGGCAGGTGTTAACAGCAATTGTTACCGGGTTGGCTAAAACAATTGTGGATCTGACGTAACCTATGTATGTTATACTGGAGAGAGTAAAAGTTCGTAGCTAAGCGACTAGTAGAACTATTCCACGATGATTTTGTTGATGGGAAGTCCGACTCAGTTGAAGGGGCGTTCGCTGTGCGCCACAGCCGAGGTGCATTGCTTCCCGCGCTAGCGCTGACCAGAGATATCAATGAAGCTTTAACATAGTTCTCACGCGTTCCCTTGTCCGCGCTGCGATAGATGGCTTCAATCATCTTATGCCTTACGAGCGCTTCCTCCCAGGTTGTGACACTGTATCCATTCACCGTCCCAATGCCGGCCCATGCATCCCAGGCTTTCCCCACACTAAAGGAAAAGTCACCTGCCTTTTCGACTTCAACTTCCTTGAGCTCTCCCTCGCCGACTGCGAGTTTGACAGTTGGTTGGAACATTTGAATATGGCCGCTGATGCCCCCTTCGAGAACCAAAGTACCCTCCGAACCGATGATTTCCCAGTAGAAGTTATGTCCAGAGCGGAATACGCTTGAGGCATATGTCACGGCGACATTGCCACCGCCATTGGTGAGCGATGCCGTAATGCTGACAAAATCATGCGCTGTCTTTTTGCGCTTTTCAACCGGCTTGCCATTCCCATCAACAAGATCGATATCGGGGTAGTTGTTGGACAGGGTAGCGACAATGCCCTGTAGCTCACTACCCAAAACATAGCACAGTGCGTCAACAGCGTGACCAAAAGGTATAGTCAATATATTAGCTCCTGCTTCAATTGGTAGCGCATACAATAGGTTTTCTGGGATTGCATCTGAAAACATGTTGCCCTCATAGATTGTTAGGAATGAGTACTGCTTAAGGATTGGGTGCACTTACATGGCCGAACATAGTCGTTCCGAGGATCTTTCCCAACTTTCCTGAGCCAACAATATCCTTCGCCTTGATTATAGATGGGCTTTGACGCGCTTGTAGTCCGACCAAGGTCTTTACTCCCTTCTTATTCGCTAAATGCACTAGCTCTTCAGCTTCCGTAGCGTTCCGAGCAAGTGGCCATTCGGAAAATACATCTTTGCCTGCTCCGAGTGCTGGCCAGATGAGATCGTAGTGCTGAGGTACATTGACGCTGACAGCTACAATATCGACATTTGGATCTTGAGCAATCGAAGCCGGACTATCATGTGTCGAGACGCTGTCCAGAGAGTACTTCTTGGCTGCTACTTCAGCAGAGGATTGCGAACTGTTTTGAAGGGCCGTAATCTTGTATTTCGAGGTCTTTTGAAAGTGAGGAAGGTGGGATTGAGATGCCCAGGAGCTATATATCATGTTAGCCGTTTCACGCGTCGGATCTTTCGATACTTCAATGCTTAGCACAAACCCTTTTGCTGAAAGACCAATCAGCCCGACACGCTTGTGTGAGTCTAACATGATGCCTGTAATGATCGAGATGTGTTTCGGGATGTACGAAGTGTACAGGAATTGAATTTTAAGTCCAGGCATCTTTCGTATTCTATACCCAATCTACCTCGGCCTTCTCAATAGCAAATTCCCCGCTTTGCCCCACGTAGTGTTGCGTGATTGTATACTACATACGTACCAAGGGCGTTTACGACGTCACTAACCAAGTAAATCAGTAGTTTCCGCCAGAATTCGTCCGCTCAATACATCCCTTATTTACTTGATGATATTGCGCCGTGTGCGACTATAGGGATGTTAACGTTCGAAATCCGCTTTTTCTCTTGCATGAAATTGTCGACTCGCAATCCTGCTGTCGCGCACATCGCCATACGCCGTGAGACCTCCAACGGCTGATTGCAATCATACCTCTAGTAAATAAATACGAATTTCGTAAAAACCAGCGTGCTATTTGTCTTATTAATTTTATTCATTGGTAGAAACTATCTTATCACACCCAGATTGTGCTACGATAAATAGTCCAACGAGCATTCCCACACTGAAATCTCTCTCAAGTTAGCAATATCAGAAATGTATTGATTGCGCTTAAATGCACACAAATCAAGAACCGTAGGTAGCATCAATGCGATTAAAAGTTCTCATGAGCTCAGTGTGTTTCATTTGTCGACTACGTAGTAGAAGACATCTTGTTAATATAAAGTTCAAAGTTTCTGTAGTCTATATCTGTAACCATGAAGGTGTGCGCAATCTAGGGAACAATATTAGATCAATGTCGAGATTCCGAGCAACAAAGCTGTGATACACTAGATGGTCTGTTCTTCTCATCATGTTTGAGCCTAAGGTCAGAACTAACGACCAAGAAGCAGTAATTCTCTCACTAGAAACTTTTCATACAACAAAAGCGGTGAAAAGATGGTTGCACTTGATCTTCTTACTCGTATCTACATTATTAGGCATGCTGCATTAGACATATCCCGCAGATATCTCTCCCTGAACTGTTTTTGCACCAAAATTCTTTGCTGCTCGAGGTCCTTAACATGAGCTTCCCGTACAAGTTTCATGTTCTCTTTCTGCCTCTGTTCTTGCTCCTCGAAGCGTTTCCTCGCATCCTCAATCAACTGTTCCGAGCTGATTCTCAGGTTGACCATTTCTTGTCGCTGCTTTGTGAGACCTTCTTGATATTCTCTCCTGGCTTGTTCTAGAATTTCCCGGTCCTCTCTATTGTGCTGTTCTCGCGCCTGCCGTAGGTCCTTCTCTAGATCTTTCAATTTTCTTTCATAGTTCTTGATCAAAAGCTCCACCGTTGACGCTAGCTCGCTTCCTGCGCCCGTGTCAACGAGGTCTTTTGCTTGGTCAACCATTTCGCGTTGAATGTCGAGTGTGACTGGTCGCTTTCTAGCTATTAAGTAGTTGATGATCTTGGTCGCCGAAGCTTTGCCATTGTCGTGTCGATAAACTTTACTACCATGATCTATCATCTTCTTCCACAGTTGCGGCTCACTTTTCAATTGCTTTTCCCTCTCTTTTCCAGCAGTTTCGCCGGCTTGTTCCCACATCGTCGTAGCTAAGACTACGCTCCCGAGGGTATCTTCTCCGCATAGTTTCTGGAACATCTTGATGTTCTTGATGCCGCTGCCACCGACCCGAAAGTCGGAAATTCTCTGAAGGAATATGATACCCGCGAGCTTTACATTTGACACATGTGCTTTGTTGAGCCAAAGCGCGACCTCTCTTAAGATCTCGGAATCGGAGCGATATGTGTCATCGAATCCTGGAGTATCAACAAGGTAAATCTTTGTACCGTCTTCGGCTTTGCAAGTTGCCACTTGTACTGATACTGTGCCTAGGAACGTTTAGAGTGATGATTAAAATAGAGATAATGTCTCTCACATGAGTCCAATCCATGGCCAACCTCGAGCGGCGTTTCTGCAAACAGATTGACAAATGTTGTTTTTCCACAGCCAGTGATACCCATCACAGCGATAATAATATCATTGGGCCTTGAGACGCGGTCAGTGTGCAGTCGGATGAGGGGCAAAAGGTCGTACTTGAGATTCGGCAGATGAGGTTCCTCACGATGAGGGCTGTCTACCCTGCCTCCTTTATCTGCTGTCATGTTTGCGCGATACAATCAAGAAATTTCCACAGAAAACTCTAACTGAAGGTAGTGAGAAGTTGCCATATAAGTTTAGCCTTGTGAAAGCAGATGCAAGACTCAAGTCGGCCTTGCAAGGCAAGTTGAGAAGGCAACAATGCATGACCAGGGCTATGCGAGCTGGAAATGCAAGTGCATCATGATGCATGCATGCCATAATAAAGCGCCATGACCAGCAGTGCACCTGCAAAATCCTGGCTGTGCTATGCCCTTGCGTATACAAGCCACAGTATTAGTAATTGGATGGGTTCACTAAGTAGAGATAGGGTTGTTTGTACAACTGATCGGTGACGAACCAGCGTCATGACCACTCCACCATATGCATTCCCACCAGGCAGCCATTCTGAAGGAGCTGACCGGCGAGTGCCAGCTCATCTGCAGATAACGCGGTTCATGTAATGTGCATTGCCCCAAGTGGGGCAGTGCATGCACCTCGCTACGCCACAGAACAACTAGATTGGAAACTTTTTCCGCAGCTTATAGCCAATCATATACGCACATAATAACACTTCAATAGGAGTTTTTCTATTGACGTATATGAGCCCGCTTGAGCAATATGGCAAAGAGCAGAGACAAGATGTATCGATTCTTGTGGTGTACATATCATCCTTTTCTATGAACAATACTGAAAAACAATTCTTATAACGAGGCTGAAATCATATATAGGGCCGGCGTTTGAAACTGAGTATATTAAATGATTGAAAAGAGACTACTCGCCGCATTGTTGGTCTACCTTGCCTGATTACGACCGCGCGAGCTGAGTTCATCATAACGGTTGTCATGATATGAGCCAGATTGGAGTGGTGGCTGTCGCATGGATGTGTGTGTGGTATCATCATATCTTCGCGTGAGAGAACCTGTGGATGGGGGTATCGTGCGTTTCAGTCCGTAAGGATCAACGATGACGGGTCCAGGCAGTGAGTGAACCTGGCCAGTTGCATAACCTGGGGTTAAAGGCGTATAAGTTGGAAGAGGTCTGTGTTGTGAATGCTTGGGACGATTTGAATTCCCGATCGCAACTGCATCGCATCCCGGATGATAAACCTGATCATATCCCTGATGGTATTGGAGTTGAGAGTTCGAGGAAATGTGATATGGCTTTGTGTCCTGTTCATCAACATGGGTTGTATGTTTGGCATTCGCTTTCCCGTTTTGACCATTTCTGGACTGACTTCGTCCTCTTGTAAGCTTTACGGGGGATTTTTTTGGTGTTTTGGCTTCCAATGGCATTGAGTCCGCACGGCGCGTTATTGGTACTGGCTCCCTGAGGTCCTTTGCCGGTGATGCGAGAAATGCGCGAAATCTTCCTACAACATCAAACTGGGGGCTTCTCTTTTTTCTCACTCTTTCTCGCCAGGCTTGTTGCTCCTCAAGTTCTTTCTGGGCTGCTTCAAGTTCTCTCTGGGCCGCCTCAAGTCTTTTGTTACGCTCTTCCAACTCCTCCATCTTTTCATTCTGAGCAATTTCTTTCTCCAGTCGTCTCCTCTTTTCCTTTTCCAATTGGAGAACTTTTTGTTGCAGCTCATAGGTGATGCGAATAGACTGTTCCTCCAATATCTTATCCTGAGGCACATCGTCATGTTTTTTGTTATACCATGCTTTTTGCTCGAGTTGCATGTCCTCAAGTGTCACTGAGAGACTTCCTTGATCATCCTTAAGTCGATTCACCGTGACTGTGCAGTCCCTTATCTCTTCTGAAATTTCGCTCCTCAAATCATCGTCGTCGCAGGACTCCTCCACACTCTCCTCCAGTTCTTTCTTCTGCATTTCATATCTTCTGCGCATATTCTCCAGCTCGCCCTCCAAATATTTCCCTGCAGTTGTTTTCTCCAAAGTCATTATTCTGCTTTTTCTCATCTCTTGCTGTAGCTGTAGAGAAAAATGTCTTTGCCTGTCAGCAAGCATTTCGACGATATGTCGCGCGCTGTCTTCGCCGTAGTGCCTCTCCATTCGAGCATCAGCTCTTATCAATGTGCCAAAGAACTCTGCCCGTTCCTTCAACGTGTCTTCGCGTACCGTTGCTGCATCGATTGCTTCTTGAGTCTTGATCATATTCCACATGGTGGTGACGACTGTGACATGTTTGAAGCAATGCTCGCCACAAATCTTTTCAAAAATGCGTAAGCTCTTGATTGAAGATCCTGACATTCTCACATCGGTGATTCGGTGAGCATAAATCATTCCGCCAATAGTAAGTTCACTTCCATAGAGATCATATAGTGTGCAGAGGAAGTATGCAATCTTCTTAAACACCCCTGCGTCGTCTGTGCTGGTATCATCGAACCCTGGTGTGTCGATAAGATAGATCTTCCGTCCATCACCTCTACGGAACTCATAAGGCATGATATCAGTAGTACCTGCAAATGTGAGAAGGTGAGATCGAGAAATCTTATACAAACGTACATGATTCTAACGAATGCCCAATTCCAGCGTCTTGGTCGGTGAGCTGGGAGATGAACGTGCTTTTGCCAGCACCAGTGAGTCCCATAACCAAAATTGCTATGGATCTAAATGCTCGGTCAGTGCAATGAAAGTTTCCCATATATATTGTCGACGTACTCGGATGAAGAAGCGTTGTGCGGAGATTTGTGATGCTGTTGAGATAGCTGCATGGTATCTAGCCTATCGTCACTACGCTTCAGAATGACGCTTTCACTCAAGTTACTCATGGCGAAGACTTCTGAATAGCTGTCGTGACAGATGGTAGAACTCTCAGCCTGGTTGTGCAAGTCGCTGACGGTTCACGTCCTCACAGACGACGCTAAAATGGCCAGGGTATGTCGTCTACGCCTCTTCCTGGTGTGTCCTGTAGCCTAACAAGCGAGCGTAGGATTGCGCAGTGCATGGAATAGGCTAAAGCCACAAAATCCGCGCCTGAGCTGTTGTGTGGCCACCCGGTCGGGCGGTTCTGACGTGTACGTTGCTGATTGGCGAAATCCAAAAGACACATGGGAAGCGAGATTCAGCCTTGCCCTAGAGATATATGCAGTTCGCCTAGGCGAACTCCAGACACGCTACCTGATGTTACATAGTAGCTGGAGACAATCACTGGATGCAATCTCAATGACTTTGAATATCCCATTGTGACCCAGCACGCTTTCTTATGGACACTACTATGGTGAATCATGTCTCACAGGCTATTAGGTATGTTTTCCACAATGATTGTAGAATAGAGGCTTATAAAAATTGAATAGCCCAGATGACATCTTCATAGCAGTTATGGGGATGACTGGTGTTGGAAAGTCTAGTTTCATTGAGCACTGTACTAAACTACCAGAACGACTCTCGAGCAATGGACTGTTTTCGTGTAAGATCCAAGAACCCGAACCCCACTCATCCGACATGAGTTAACAAAAAATAGGCACTAGCCGTGTGTCGATACATACCACAGTAGTTCAAGGCCGTACTGTACATCTCTTGGACACACCTGGGTTCAATGACAGTCGGCAGTCTGATGGCAAGGTGTTGCAGGAATTGGCATATTGGTTAACAGCTGCCTATGAGAGAGACATCAGACTTAGCGGTATCATCTATCTCCATTGCATCACGAACAACCGTCTTCCAGGCACCGCCGTGCGGGCATTAGATGCTTTCAAGAAGATGTGTGGAACGGAGGCATTCAAAGGAGTGATCCTTGCAACAACTATGTGGGACATGGTTTCCGTGAAAGACCTGGCCAAGGCCGAGAAGAGACATGAAGAGTTTTATGAAAAAGTTCGCCACGATATTATCGAACACGGTGGTAAATTAGTCAGGCTATCAGCTGTCGAGATTGATGCTGTAAAGATTCTTCGTCATATTGTTCAAAAGAATCGAAGACTTACCCTGAGATTCCAGCGGCAGCTAGTAGATGAGAACCTACTGATCTATGAGACAGAAGCTGGGCAGGTACTATATGAAGATCTTCATAAACGCTATCGGTCATTACAAGTGATGGCAGACGAGGCTCATCGACAAATGGACGAGATTGTTAGTACTGGGCGAAGAGAGGCATTGCGCGAGCTTAGCGAAGTCACATCCGAGATGGCTGAAGACATTCGACTGGTTGAAGAAGACATTGAGCGTACAAAAGTAGCGTTTGGAGGTATCCGGGAAAAATGGGAGAAAATCATAGACCGAGATGATCAAAGTCTCATTTTGACTGCACAGAATATCGAGCAGGAATTTGAGAGGGAAAATAGCTACAAAGGAGATGGCGAGGAAGCTACGACGACCAGCATTCATAAATTGGCACCTCCATTAAGCGAAACTTCCAGAACCTCCAGTACCGAAACGTTTTCTAGCCTCGCATCCCAAGAGACTATGGCACAAAAGCTACACGATCTCGAAAAAGAGCGGCAAGCAATTTCCATACGAATCGGACAAAGACTAAGCAGAAGATACACAGCCCAAACACGAGGAGCAACAACAATGAGCGTTATAGGCACCACTTTGGCAGCTGGTCAGCTCATTGCAGCATTGGCCTGTGTTGTAATGTAAAGACTTTATAGTTTTGGGCGCCAGGTCCAAGGATTGAGCATTTCCTTATTGCGTCTAGACATATACCAGCATAAGGCGGTGGATAGTGCTTGTCGAGGTGCTATGTAATGTTGAATAGTTTTCTTCTAAACACCTCAATTCGATTCTTCCTGTCTATAAGAGATACGTCAAACCTATATTTGCTGTGACGTTCTGCAGATGTAAGAAAGAATAACATAAATGAATGATAAACGACAGGTCATTTCTTGTCAATTGACTGAAGGATGGTTGTACAAAGGCCCTGAGGTACTGGGAAGATTCGATAATACGAATTGAATAAGAATGTAGTCTTAGACGGCGTTTGTGGATTGGCAATCGTTTTAAGCGCTTATAATGCCAGAATATCGGGTGGAGTAATAGTGGGCAAAGGGCACAGAAAATTGACATTGATAACGAAATGATTTATCTATATTGATGCCAAGGCTCATGAAACTGTGAAGAGCTTAAGCATAAGCATTAGCGAAACAAGTATCCTGTGAGCCAGATCAGCTGACGTTTTCTGGAGAAGACGCCACTCTTGAAGACGGATAGAAGGAGTTGAAGAGCTCGGTTGGTGCGGTATACAAAAGCCTTGGTCATTCTAGTAAGCAAAACCGTTCGTGAAATCAAAAAGGTTTTGCGGATCCCATTTTCGCTTGAGTTGCTCAAGTTGCGGAAGTTTTGCTGCAGTGTACTAAGCATTACGACCTTCATCGCCATGTGTGTAGTTAACGTAGACCTCGAGCCCCTTTGCGCCGTTGAGCTTTGCAAAATCTCCACGTATCTCTTTCGCGAACTTCGTGATAGCGGATGTTTGTGCATCCGTTGTGAAGCCGCTGAAGCTCATGAATCTACAGAAGTATCAGTTGCCAGTAAACATGGGCGCACATGGCTATCGTTGAGACTTACAGATACGCCATTGCGGCTCGATACGGATACGTTGTCGCTTCGTCTGGTATACTGAGTGAGACTCTAGTAGGGAAAATCTCCGTGACCATGTATGATGTCGCCAGGTGAGTTGTGGCATAGAAATCAATATACGCAGCAAGCGTCTTCTGATAAGTTGCAACATCATACGGATACAAATTCATGTCATATGCTGGTTGAGGAAGACCTGAGAAACAGCCAAGAGGATCGATACCAAAGAAATTTTTCCAGAATAAGACGGTTGTATGGAATCATGGTCACATTGGACTTGAAAGCTTTGACCGAGAGTAGTGGCTGAAGGATCTTTCTCCCATCCTTTTCTGGGCCTACATATACAGCACTAACCATTGTTACGACCTATAGACCCTGTTAGTACCCTGCAGTCAGCATTGGCTTCTTAAACTAACCGTGTTCAAAGTGTGCGAGTATTGTATGGCGCTCGTAACGGCAAAAGCATCAGGCTGGTTCCGAGTGAAAGACTTCAGGGCGTTGAAAATAGTAGCATTCGCGCTGACTTGGGAAAGGAAATCGCCGTTCAAAGCCTGGCCGCGGTTGGTCTGGTCATGTAGTTTGTAAGTAGCGGAGGTTATGAGACCGAAGTTCTGTCCGGCGCCTCTGATACCTCAAAACAGATCGCTATTTTCGGAAAGTGATGCATTAACAACATCCCCATTTCCGGTCACAACAGTCACCGACTGGAGTGCGTCTATGATCAAACCATGAAGACCTTGGTGGACGCCGATACCGCCACCTATGGTAGCGCCAACCATTCCAACGCATGAGCAGGATCCAGTCTCTGACAGGGTGTCATTACCAAACTGAGGAAATCAGGGAAGAGCAACATAGGTATCTCTTTTCCAGCCTGTTACACGGGATTCAGAACCTCTACAAAGGTGACAGCGCCGCCAATGGTCATTGTGCTTGCTGCAAAATCAATTGATACCTCCTTGAAGCCACTGAGATCTATGTTGATTCCGTTCTTCAGGGCGCTAGTAGTCGTGGTATAACCATGGCCGCCACCTGTTCCCATGAATGGGATGCTGTTGCTTGAAGTGTAACGGACCTTCGCACGGGTGTTAGAACCGAAGCACTTGTAAACATGACATTTTTTGAACTTACGATTGTCGCGACATCATTGGCAGTAGCAGGCTTTACAACCACAACAAAGGATGGCGGATCATAGGCGTCCCACCTTTGCTTGATCTCGGTTGTGTAGGCCTGAGAACTAGAAAGTACAACTTCCGAGCTAGAGGATAGTTGAGTTTTGAGGTAATTTTGGATTTCTCCTGGAGTCGCTGCCCATGCCAGATTGACCGACCAGAGTAGTCCGAAAACTAAGTGTGCTGCCATGTTTGCAAATGGCGGGTGTTTACATCACTCATGAGGGGAATAACAATATATAATCCAATCGAATGGCCCGTGGTAACAGGTTCTCTATTCTAGTAATAGACTAAGTCGGTGAGGGTTAATGAGTCGGGCAAATATAGATGGGGCCCGGTTCGGTGTCAATGCGGAATTCGGCCGAAGTATTTGCACCCAACAATAATTATGCTCGATGAAGACCCATGAAATGTGCACAAGACTACAAAATAACAAAATTCAAGATGAGAGGGTTGAAGTTCATCATCATATGCTGCCGACTGAATACATACAGAGTGCGTCATTTATGATAGTTTGTTCAGACTAGAACTGATTTCTTTGGCAGAATGGAAAAATGCAGCTGGAATTCCCAAGGGACTTACGCTACCTTCATGGGATGTAGAACTGGACCTACAGTTCATGAACCGCAACGATATCGACGTCTCGATTCTATCGTTGAGCGCTACAGGTCTTGCGTTCGCCTCATCTGCCGAGGAAGCTACAAAACTATGCCGATCGGTCAATGAGTACGCTAAGGAGATCTCGACCAATCACCCACGGCGATTTGGTTTCTTTGCATCCGTACTCCTACTTAGATCGACGCTTCTCTAGAGGAAGTATGCTACTCACTCGACGTACTGAAGGCAGAAGGAGTCGCATTGTTGTCGAGTTATGACGACAAGTACTTGGGCCACAAGGGCTTTCATTCACTTTGGGAGGAACTTCACAGTCGCAACAGTAGTTTTTCATCCATCCAACCTTTGGTAAAACTCGGGGCGCCCCGCCTGACCCTACTATTCCTCGACCTATGATCGATTTTCCTCACGAGATAACCCGAACAGCAATAAGCCTCATCACGTCCAAGGTTGTTCATGACTTTTCGAACTGTAAAATCATACTATCTCACGGTGGCGGCACGCTCCCATACGTGGCGACGAGAGATGCGCACCAAACAGCTGACCTTGGACTGAAAGATAAAACAGCCGAAGACTTCATAAGGGAAGCAAAATCATTTTACTTTGATCTTGCATTGACGGGATTCGAGGCACCCATTAAACTTTTGCAAGATTTTGCTGGTACAGATCACATATTATACGGAAGCAATTTTCCGTTCGCTCGTGAAAGAACTATCAGACTTCAAATCGAAAACATCAACAACACAACTATGGGGGACGAAGCGCGGCATTCGATTGAATGCGGCGCTGTAAGGAAACTCTTTCCGCGTTTCAGGACCGATGGAAATGATGGATGATAGATTCTCTTTCGTTTATTGGCAAGGGCTGGATCTTCTAGGTAACTTTCCCAGTATAGCATGAATGAAATTGAGGAACATGTCAAGTAGGCTACGATCGTGAAAATGACGCACTGAATACTATTGTAGAATTAATGATGCAAGATCGCTAAATAGCGGTATAACTTTAGGAATCTTATCAAGCCAAAGAAAAGGGTGCTAGAAGCTCAATAAAAAAAGGTTTCCTCGGAAGCACTTGCAAAACTTTGGCTTCATAAATTATTCATGACTTGGTAGGGTTGAGTTACAAGACGATGATGACATTTTGTGTATGCATTACGCACAAAATGCATGGCATGAGTAAGACGTGTTATTTGGCCAAGCTATGAATCTTCAAGAAAAGCAATCGAGTATTGTTAGGGTCATGGTGTCGTTTCATGACTTTACACCAGGAAGACATATCGGCCTAAGATGCGGTGGAGATAGCGAGTTGATCTTATTCATGTCAGTAATAATATCAACAGAGGAAACATGTTACTTACAGGGCCACCGAAAGGAAGGGTGAAATCTGCTGTCTCAGTCGCATAGCTAAATCCATCTGGTGAGGCCTCCGCCTTACCCACCTGGACATATGCTAGATACTCCGGGGCACCCAGGAAGATGATGTTATCAACTAAAACAACAGAGTCAGATTTGAGTAAGGAAAGCTTTTCGCACAGTTGCAAATCGGCAATATAAAAGTCTTTCCAATTATCCAGAAGCATGAAGTCAACAGTGCTTTCTGACACTGTTCCCTCCTTGACGAGGCGTGCCAACGACCCCGAAGCTGAAACAACATGTATGGTGACAAAGTCTCGTAAAACTGCTAGATCGGCAAGACTGGCAGTAACGGCTGCGATTATGGGGTTCTTTTCGAATGATATATAGCGAACACGCTGTCCTGGCCAGCCCGGGCCATCATAACACTAGCAAGGCAGATGGCAGAGTAGCCAACATAGGAGCCAAATTCGAGAAACAGGGTTGGTGCTGGCTCAGCGGTAGTGAGAGGTTTCGTTATGAATTTGCGTTTCTCTAAGCCAATGGTCATCGACCCCCGCGGGATCGTGGCAGCGAAGTCGTCAATGGCGTTGCAGACCGCATCTGGGTTGCCGCGTATTTGTTCTAGATCCGGGCGGCTGTATACGTATTTCAATAGCGCAAGCTCTTCAGCACCTTGATCCTATTGATACAAATCAGCCTTATGTTCGAAGGGGGTCTGCTGGACTCTGAGAATCGTACATGATTGGCTGCGACAGTGGCATTGAAGAAGCCAGCACTGTTTGCGACTTTAGGTGCCGAGCCGTCGACGAGTGCATCGGTGTTGAAGTACTTCGAAGTACCTCCCACAGGAGTATCTGTGTTCGAGGGGAGGACAACTGCCATCTTTCTCCAATTCAAGATCTTTGCGTAATGTAGCACCCTTGTGTTGATGATAAGCAGTTGACGATACTAGTACGTTGTATACCTGATGCATCATATATAAAAAACATCATCAGTTCGTGGTTCACAATGTACAAGTCGGGCACGTCGGTCCGTTTCGGGTACATTTGATTCGGTGGCTGCATCCAGCAACCCCAGTAAGTATCAGTAGCATCCCACATACGGAGATAGGTGTTTGTAAATTTGTGCGCGCATTACCGGAGATAGTAGACACGGAGATCAACGTTCTCCAATAATCGCCATGCTATACAACTTCCAAGACCCCCAAGCTGAGGGGTCATCTGCCACCATATCCGGAATACCAATCGTGTCACCATGGGTTTCGCAACTACAATCCTTCACTCCCAGTTCTTCGTCAGGCCACCGGTGCCCTCGTCCGATTTCTCCGACCAAACAGTTGTTGTGACAGGCACCACATCTGGTCTTATATACGAAGCAGCGAAACATGTACTGCGTCTTGGGGCGTCGAAGCTCATCCTTGCAGTGCGCAATGTTCAAAAAGGCGAACAGGTTGTGAAAGAGATCTCGTCTGCACTATCCCTTCCTATAAGCAATGTCGAAGTGTAGGAGCTGGATCTCAGCAAATTCGCGTCTGTGAAGAAGTTTGGTGGGCGTATCAAGACATTGGACCGCTTGGACGCCGTTATACAGAATGCGGGCATCATGACCAGCAAATTCACTTCGGTTGAAGGATGCGAGAGTCAAGTAGCAGTAAATGTTATCGGTCCAGCGCTTCTCGGCTATCTTGTTATCCCCAAACTTCAAGAATCCGCGGCCGAAACTGGAAGTCGGGGAAGACTGGCTTTTGTAGGAAGCGACCTCCAGTTCCTTGCACCCTTGAAGGAAAAGTCCCGTCCACGCAGTCTCCTTACGGCACTCAATTCGGAAGAGCACGTTGACATGAGCAATCGGTAAATCTGACTTGGCGTAGTGACTCTTGCTGCGCACTAGCTAACAATCGACCACAGCTATGGCGTCTCCAAACTCCTGCTTATGTGGGTGGTGCGCGACCTGGCGCAACGATACCCGTTGTCCGATCAGTCAAACGTACTCATTACCTGCCTGACACCCGGCCTCTGCCAAACAATCTTGTGCGCGATGATGAAAGCTGGATTGCTTGTGTGATCAGGCGCTTTATCATTGGAATCGTTGCACGGTCCACCGAAGTTGGCAGCCGCACTCTGGTTTTTGGTGTGAAGCCCGAACTTGGCGAGGAGTGTCACGGTGCATTCCTGATGGACTGCAAAGTTTGCGGAGAGTACGTATACTGTGGAGATTAATCCTATGACTAGAGAAAAACTAATGCGCTATTTGGTATAGTTTAACCAGCAACACGAAGTCGTCCGAGATGAAAGAGGCCAAAACAAAATTCTTGGGCGAGCTTCGTCCACGCTTGCAGGAAATCTATCCTGAAGTTCCCCTGAAGTTCCCTGAAGGAAATTGTGGATCGCATATTTGGGAAAAGAGTGGATACATATGGGGGTGCTGATCGATATCAGAACATGACAGGTTTGGTTAGGAGGCCAGGTGCTATCTGAAGTACAGGTCCCATAGCGGTAGAGGCTAGCGGCGACTATCTGCTTATCGCGGATATCTGTATTTCATAGTCCTGTGAGGTTTCCACCACAGTCCCCACCCTCAATGTTTTCTTGTAGCGCAACAGTATGACGGTTTGGAAGGAATCGTGTAGGTACATATATAGCCGAGCCTTCACTCTCAGAACTAGCCGATGCCAAAGGTAGCAATTATACCATCAATATTCTAGAAAGGTGGCTTCTGGAATGCGTAGTTGCAACTGATCACTGAAGGTCATTGGAAAGAGCCACAATGGCGATACTTCAACCTGTTGAGATGTTGAGTATGCCTAAATGGTTGCTAGCCGCCTGTCTTGTGAGTGGTGAGCACATCGTACCAATGCCCCGACTAACAACATCTAGCTCTTGTCGTTTTTTTGTACTTCGTGCCTTCTACCGAGTAATACTCCATCCTTTGACATGGTTCCCCGGTCCCATGAGCCGCGCGATAACGCACATCCCCCACGCTCAATCGATCCTCAGCGGATACCTGCCACACGATCACACTTCACTGCATGCCAAATATGGCGAGCAGTGCGTATTTCACCAGATATGGTGTCATTCACTGCAGCTGAAGCGTGGACTGACGTCTATGGATATGGACCAAACCGAAACTTTGCAAAGTGGGGCATGACTCGCAGCCACAAGACTGTCGACCATCTCTTATTAGCCAACAACGCAGACCATTCACGGCAACGAAGAACTGTCAACCATGCATTCAGCGATAAGGCAATGCGAGCTCAAGAGGGCCTTGTGATGCGCTACATCGATCAGTTGACAAGTGCACTTGCGGCAAATTCTATGAGTGACATCAATATCAAGAATTGGCTGGAGTATACTGCATTCGATATCATCGGGGATTTGGCATTTGGTGAGCCTTTCGGATGTTTGTCAAACGGAGGATACCACCCTTGGGTTGGACTACTGTTTCCCTTCATCAAAGCGCTTTTGTTCTTTGGAGCGCCCAGGTTGTTCCAACCTTTCACGATATTCATCATTGCTCTTTTTACAAAGAAGAACATCAAGGCGTGTATGCAGCATATCAAGCTTAGCACTGAGAAAGTCCACAAGCGCCTGGCGGCTGGCGAGCAACCGCATCGATCTGACTTTTGGACATATATCCTGCGAAACAATGATGAAAAAGGCATGAGTGTCGAGGAGATGGAATCGAACGCAAGTCTTTTCATGATTGGTGGAAGCGAGACTATTGCGACGGCGCTGTGTGGAATCATGTACACACCTATTGGCAAAGAACCCAGACTCGATGCAGAAACTACGCACAGAGATTACAGCCGCCTTCACTAAGCAGGAAGATATCAACATGATAAGTGTAGGTGGGTTGAAGATGCTACAAGCTATCATCAATGAGGGCATGCGCATCTACCCGCCTGTTCCAACCGGTTTGTAGCGCATCGTTCCGAAGGGTGGTGCAATCATTGCAGGACATGCTGTACCAGAAAATGTAAGTTAACTTCCTCGATTACGACCGAATGAGAACACGTGGACTCTGAACACAGGAGCACTAACTACCCTTTTATAGACGATTGTCAATGTCCCTCAACACCCAGCCTACCACCTCCCCAGCAACTTCCCACATCCTGGAAAGTTCGCACAAGAATGTTGGCTTCCCAATGCACCATGGGAATACTCAAGAGATAGGAAAGATGTGTTTCAGCTATTTAGTACAGGGCCACGCAATTATGTTGGCAAGAATCTTGCGATGGCGGAGACGAAACTCATTTTGGCTCGTCTAGTATGGCAGTTTGAGTGGCAACTCGCTAATGACAATTTCAACATCGACATGCAGCGAGTTTTTATCATGCGAGAGAAACCAGATCTAAACCTCCGTATGAAACTTAGGGACGTATGATTGAATCGGAGCTCATGGTGATGTTGGCTGTAGGGTGTAGCTTGGTTTGTAGTATCCCACAAGGCAAGTTCTTTGTCATGACTTAGAGATACTACTATACTATATTTTGTTGATGGGTAGTTTGTGCCTTTTGCGGGATGGAACGAGCTGTTAACATCGCTCGTTCAGTGTCTGGGAAAGCCCGTTAGAAGCGATTATTACTAGCGCAGTGGCTACCATGTTCACTTTCAATCTAGCTATGAACAACAGCACTATTGTTTAGGAGCTCGAAGAGCTCGCCCAATACACGTGACCGTTATCAAAACGATTCATGCAGTATCATCGCAACAAATCTTATTCCCGTAACCTTTTTCAGGCCGACTCGTCGACAACACCCTCCCTTCTTCCCATATATCATCCACTAAACCATCCATATTCGTCTCACCGGATTGCACGTAGGTACCATTCCGATAGTGATTCCCTCAAAGATCCCTCAAACCGACAATCGGGCACTTTGAAAATGTGGCCGAACCATTCAAGTCACCGAGTTACGGGTACATACTGCGTTCGCGACACATGGACGATATGTGGCCGACCGACTGACCGACGGGCCGACTCTCCAAATGGTGTCACGGCATTTTTCAACAATGCTGATCATAGGAATGGTGACAATGAAGGGTAGGGCGTCTGGTCGAATTTTCGGAAAGATTATAGCCACTTACGATGTAGCATGCAGTCAAAAGCGAGTCAAGTAGATGGCTACTGGCTTTTTTTGCTACGTAGCCGCGTATATATCACGATGAAGTGCATTGCTTAGTCATTTAAATCATGAGCGCCCATGCGAAAGAATAGGGAGATAACACTGGGAGTTTGTTAGTTTATTTGTTGCAGCGAAACGTGATCTAAGTACATAGATGGGAGAGATGCAGCTTGCGTTTAGGAAAATTGAGTGATCAAGGCGCGTCTGGTGAATCTTTAGATGTAGAGTTAAACTTCAAGCTGTGCAATGGAAGCTCGTGATTGATCATGTAGTAACACGATGAATGATTCGAACATCATATTCATCAACTCCTGATGAATAAACTGAACAGATTATTTACAACTATATGTACAGATCGTAGAAAGAAAATGAAACCTGAGAAGCATTTCAAGCACCGAGATACCATATGTACTGTGGTGTAGCATCACGTGACTAAGCGTATAGTATATATTACGATTATCTTTCGTACGTAGATAGGCACCTTCTCCAATCAATCCTTTGCAACGATCAACCTTTAGCTTATTTCTATCTACTCGATTGCGGGTCGCCCTTCTGATCTTTTGAGCTCGATCACGTATCGTGCCACAGTACACAAAGCAGACCTCGATACCAGAAAAGCATAACATCATGAGACTCAACATTCTCAGCTTCTCGAAGAGAAACTCATAGCCTGGCGCAACCGTTTCATCCCACCTTTTAGTGCCGGATTCCAACGTGACATCATGGATATGCCTGGCTCCCTGGACTGTAAGCAGCTGTCCTTCGATGCCAGGTTTGCGTAAAGCATCGACAAACGCAATAGCAGTATGATAAGGTACAATGTCGTCATTCGTGCCATGGATGACAAATGTCGGGACAGTGTAATTGCCACGCCGAAGCTGCGCAAGCGGACTGATGGCTGCCACGCGCTCAGGATCTGGGGCACGAAGCCAAGCATCACCGTCCTCAATGTTACAGTGACCCGACAAAAGTAATGTCGCGCTAAGCGCTCGGGCCACCATCACCTCTTTTTTTGCAGATTTGAAGTCGCGATAACTCAACTAAAACATGATATTTTTTGTTAATTAGTGTTGCAAAGTAATCGCAATAGTCTCAATACTTAGTTTGGTACCCCTTTGCCTTAATTGCTGCGGCGAGGCGTTGCGGTACACTGCGAAGTAGCTAGGTGACCAGAGTATCTGGTATGGCAGCCTAAGCAACTTTCAAGCCAGCTTTGAAATTATCCCAGTCTTCTTGGGACTCTCCCATGTCATCGAACTGGGGATAGAGCTCATAGAGTTTCTTTTTTAGTGCCCACTAGAGGTATTCAATAGGGTTAAGGTCTGGGGAGTAGGGGGGCCAAATAGCAACTGTGATGTTGTGATCTTACAACCAAGTCCTGCACCGTCGGGCAGTATAGATACGTGCGTTGTCCTGCATAAATCACTCGCCCGGCCTGTAATTAGGCAGTAAGCCTTCCTGTAACGCTTGGATATATGACCAGGCACTATATCCGTTGTGTGCGGCTGTCTCGTCCCGCTGCATAATCACCAGTGGGCTGCGCCTAACACCCCCATTTAGAGTGACCCAAATCGATCCCCACACCATAATTGCGGGTTAACAGCCAGTAGAGACCAGTTCTATCATTTCGCGCTCCCATTTCTGGTGCGGGAGCCTCCATACCCAGGTTGTGTTGTGGCCAGAGCCGCGCGCAATAGAGCACTCATCGCTGAACCGAAATGTAGTATTAAGCCACCCAAAAATACGCCACTGTTGTGCAAAATTGAGCCTTGATTAGGCCACTGAGTTATTAAGTTTGGGCCTACGAGCAGCCCTAAACTTATAATAACCTTCAGCAGCGAGCGCTCGTTAAATTATACAGTTAGAGAGAGTAGCTCGTATGGTGGTTAGGTTGATTAAGCCAGCGGCCTGTGCAAGCTAGTAGTACTTAATTTTTAGGGACTTTTTGACCTCGCGTAGCAGCTGCCGATGATCTCTGCTAGTTAACTTTGCTAGGCGGCATATCCGGGTGCGCTTTTCGTAGGTATTGTCGGCTTTAAATCGCTGGATTACTCGTTGGACTGTACGTTGCGCGCAGCCAAGCGCGTTACTAGTTTCTCGCGCCGAATATCCACCCTCCCACTGGGTCAAAATATATATGCGCTCGGCTTCTGATAAATCACCATTCGGCATTCTCCTGGCAGCAATTTGGGCCCTAAAGGGCCTCATTTTGATGGTGTAAAATGATATTAAAGAAGGTGTCTATCTTAGGTTGTTGTGGTGGGGTAGCCCGTGCGTCACTAGTAGCGCGACAGTATTTTTGTCCTAGTACTGTATCTTCGTCGCTGTCTCCGGAATCTTCCTCGGAATCGTCTTCAGATGAGTCAACTTCGTCATTGCTGGCTTTAGGAAGGCCGTTCAGAAGAAGAGGGAGTCTATTGCCCTTCTTGAAAAGTGATAAAACGAGCTCAGAGCGGAGATCTCCAGCCCGGACCCAGCCCAAGCCAGTGGTATCAGTTCCGTTACCGTCGTATTGGGTGATCTAGATCGAATACTGTGAGTTTTTTGTTTCCATGTATAGCCATAGTGGGGAGTTATCTTACGGGTTTCTTTGGCAGTGCCTTGATGATATCTTTCAACTTCATTGTTCTCTCTGGATACTCTTCAGCTCGGCGCTGATCCAAATCACCAGGCTCGAAGTCTGGGAAAATAGAAGCTCAGAATGGCACGTGGTAGTCTCGCAACAGCGGACTTGGCCGTCCACGCAGTTGTAATGGCAAAATGGCCTGCAGTGGACCAGCCAATGACTACAACTTGTTGAGGGTCGACTACAATGCTCTTTGCTCGTGCTAGATCGGGTAAGGCGGTTGTCATCCATTTGTACGCATCAAGAGTGTCTGCGATAGGACCATCTATGATGTTGACTTCTGGACAGAGTCGATGATCTATGCTAATTGGCAAAACACCATTCTCGAGTAGAAAGTTTGTTTGCGCGGGGCGAACTGCCTTGCGAGAAAGGGTCACGTGACCCCCACGATGAATCATGAGAGCTATTAAACCATGTCAAGGAGATGTATCTCAAGTATGTAGAGTTACTGTTGGGAATTCGTACCAAGAGGCATGGCGGTAGCGGGCGGCTGCTGTGGAAAGAACACATAGGCGTGGATGTCCACGCCATCAATCATTTTGTAGACAACTGTTTCCAACTTCGGTCGTAGAGGCGCACGATGCAGTGCTTCTACGTCGTTTCTCATACTCACAATGAGTAGTTTTTGTGTGTTCAGATCCGCACTCGGACCCTGCGAGTGAGACGCAACAGCAAATTCAGCATTCTTGAAACATCTCATCTAAGTCTCAGCAGGCCGAAGTGGGTAGCAACCATCTCTGTCGGACCACCAGCTGTCTAGGAGAGCATAGGTGATGTTATACCAATCGAGGATCTCTGTGACCTCTGAAAGAATGACAAAGCCCGTAGAGTGGAGCAGCTACTTCAGGCGATTGAGTGTCGACGTACGATCCTGAGTAGCATGCACAGAATTTGTACCAATGATGACATCGAAAGGTCCTGTTGTACAGAGGGCGAGGGGAGGGGTTTGTTCCATGTTCCAAGTCTGGAAGTGTAGCCATGGATATTGGTCGGAAAACACCTTGAGCGCACGCCCGACAAGCGTGGGGGATATGTCAGTGAAAGTGTAGTTGACGGGCCGACCCAATTTGTCTAGACTTTATACAAGCTTTCCTGTTGTCCCGCCGACTGAAAAACCTTGTTAGCAAAATGTCACTATTCCTTTTGAATCGGGTATGTACGTACAGCCAGCGCCAATCTCCAAAATGTTAACCAGGTTGTGAATTTTGGATCTGGAAACAGCATCGACGATGGTACCCACGAGCATCTCTGTAGTAGTGGCAAGCATCGAGGAGTTGAGATAAAAGTCCTCCATAACGGCTTGCGCATCATGTGTTTTGAACATGAGAGCGATTGGATCTTGCTTTCCGGCGAGGCACTGCCCAAGTTGAGATTCAGTCAAGTTCCTCAATGAGAATTCGCAATTGTAGGCTGGGAAATCTTGTCGCATCCTCCCAAGGAGATCTTTTGAAGTGCTTTGCGGGCATTTGGTAGCTCCTCGTACGTGTCGTGATGTGCCAGCTGCGTTGACCAATCCATGTTTGCCCAAAATAACCCAGATTCTCTGTATTTGTCGATCGTAAGCATGCTTGCTTCTATAAGCAAATGGTGGCAATGGAGTGCCCTCTTTCATCTTCCGCAGGTCGACGCCGAGCTCTACCAACGCCCCGACAATGTAAGCCAGCATAAGCTCGTCTTGCCGGGAAGACACATTAGCACCAAAGTCTAGAAATCCGCATTTTCTCGCCTTGGCAGCATAGTCCTTCTCACTAATGACAAGAGAGTCAAAGGGACTCGCCAGGTCCGTGGGTACCTTTGGCAAGTTGCTATTGGCTGGTTTGGATGTCGGAGGTCGACTGGCGGTTGTGCTACTAGATATGGTTGAGGCATTTCCAAAATTTATGAGAACACCTCCGCAGCTTTTGAGAGTTTCTGAGACGGACAAATCCAGGAGATCGTCGTCCAGCTCGACGTTGAACTCGTCCTCAAGCTCATTCTTCAGCTCCATCGCTGACAATGAGTCGACACCTAAGTCACGAAGTAAATCGTTTCCGTTTATGTCCTCAGCTAGTGCTCCACATGCATCGGATATAATCTGGGCCACGCGCTGGCGGATGGCATTCGGTTCCCCTTGAGGGGCTGGCGCCGAGGTCTGTGAGTGAGAATGGGTTGCCTGTGTGGAAATGGAAATGGAAATGGAAATCGGCGTCGGCGTCTGCATGCTTGGCGTACTTTGTTCGCTCTCATTGCCAAAACCGAGATATTTGATGATCTCCGCCACAGTGGAGTCGAGATGCAGATCGTTTTCGTCAATTTGGACGGAAAAGGCATTTTCAAGGTCACTACTCAGCTCCACTGAGGCCAGGGAGTCAGCACCCAAATCACGAAGCGTGTGCGAATCTTTGATATCCGCAGGCGGAGCGCCGCAAGCGTCGGAAACGATTTCCAGGAGGCGCTGCCGACCAGCGCTGCTTGCAGCCGCGCGAACCTGTAGAAGGGGATCCATTTGGACAACATGAGCTTTGGTCGATTTGGTCTTTGACTGCGATTTGGAGACTGAAGTTAGGACCAGCTGTGATAAGACGTTGAGAGTACTGGCAAGGAGGTCGGCTGATTCGATGTCCTTGCCGGATTGCGACCGCAAGTCCTCTTCAAATTCCACGGCGGCTAGAGAGTCGACACCCAAATCTGCCATGGTGGCTTGTGCAGCAATAGAATCTATCGATACATCGGTGTACATAGCAATCGTCTTGCGGAGACTACTGTCGTCTTGCTCACTAGGTGGAGGGGGAACACTGCCTTCACTCTCGGAATAATTGTGGGCGGGATATTCGTCAGCAGCAACCAAATCAGGCACAGCGTGTCGACTTGGAACTGCCGTCGTAGCATGCTTTTGGGGAGCATAGTGCTTAGGGAGAGCAGCATCCTTACGGGAAGCAGGGGTAGAATTTGCCGTATCCAGCAGTTTCTCCAGCGTTGCAATGGGCAGTCGGGTGAAGGCGACGTCCATGACGGTTAAGGCTACAGTGTCGTCGCAAGCCATGACAAAGACGTCGCCCGTGGCCGTCGTGTCACTAGTAGACCTGAAGACAGCATACACAGTCCATGAGTCAGTGGCAGCAAAGTCACAGGCTTGAGACAGCGTAGCACTGTCAAGGCCAGTGGCGACGAAGACATGGTCAGGGATGCAGGCGTCACTGCTGTTGATGAGGAGGCCGACAACCTGGATGAAGGTGTCTATGGGACTGTGTCACAAAGTGCAATTGCAGAGCTTTCATCAGGAGCAACTGGAGGGGATGGGACTTTGATGGCGGCCACAGCTCGAGTGCCAAGGCTGAGGACCCAGTGCGAGGAGCGAACAAAGTCGTAGGTAGACGTGACTCAGCCGGCCCGCTTGACCATGGGCACGATGGGTGAGTCTGTGCCAGCCTCGAGCCACAGGCAGCGCGGGCCCAGGCGTGCTTCGATGCGGCGGACGGCGTCGACAAAGTAGACGGGCTGGCGCGTGTGCTGGGACAGCTCGTCGAGCAGCGGCTCAGTGAACTTGGAGTGGAAGCCATGCGTCACGTCGACACGCTGGCTGCGAACACTGCCAAACTGCGCCTCACCCGCGAGCACCGCCTCAGCACGCGCCACAGCCGATGCAGAGCCCACCACCTGGCTGGCCACGGCATTGTAGCACGCAACCTCGAGCTCGCCGCCACCCACCTTGGATATGACCTGCTCGACGACGTCGCGCGTCGCGTGGATGGCCAGCATCGTCCCTCGCTCTTCGCCCCACTTTGTCGCCATGAGCTGCGCCCGCGCCGCCACTGTCTTGAGTCCGCTTCGAAGACTGAGCGCGCCCGAAAAGGCAAGCGCCGTGAGCTCTCCAAAGCTGTGTCCAACCACAGCCTCCACCCGCACTCCCGCGTGCGTCCAGCATCTCGCGCAATAGCATGTGGACGTCTAATGTATTATGCTAGAAGTTTCACAGCGTGAGTACATTGAGATAGTTGTTCTAAGTCTAAGGAGCTGCACTCGCTGAACCTAACACCCAGCTACTCGGAGCGCGCATCGTGAGATGTGTGCCGGGCCGCATCTAGCTTATTAGATGGGAATAGATAGCGTCGCACTAGAGAGAATCCTTGCTCATTGCGTGGTCATTCAACCTCTGATCGTGTGGTCGTTGGACCATTGCCTCTAGAAGGCGTAGTAAATTTTACTTTCTGGTAGGTGAGAAATATTATTCATATCTCGTAATTCATTCCCTTGCCTAGATAGACTCTGATAGCGGTGAACTGATCATAGGATATAATTCTTTAAAAGGGGCATCTAACTCCACACCTATATATTTTCAGTATAGTGCTGAGTGAGATGTAATTCTTGGTCAAAGCTCCCTCTATCTACTATGGACTAGTGATCAAGTGCTTATATCTTTTTTCTACTAACCCCTTTTGGGAAACTATAAGCCGCTAGGTAAAATAAACAAATAAGTGCATTGGCTCTATAGAAGTATCTTTGATAAATTAACAAGACGCCTTCGTGGACATATTTAACTCCGCTTTAATCGTCTCCTAACTGACCCATGAAACGCTTATATTTTAACTAAAGTCTATTCACTATCATGTAAGTCTAGGATTTTATAGTTCATGTAATGGGTGGGCTGGATTCGGCCTGGCGCGCAGCTACTCGCGCCGCCCACGGAACCAAAAGGTAAGCACAAGACAACACGTTTATCTTATTATCATGATAACTAGATATATATATATACTCGATATTGGCGCGCGTATCGCAGCGCCGCTATTAAGGGCGTAGCCCATCACAGTTTTGAGAAATGCTATACTAAACAACTCTCTAGGCGCCTCACAACTACCATATTTTTCTACGCTCCTCTTATGGCTCTCGCTAAAGATATGGCTGTATTCTATACCTGGACTCCCTATGAATCAAGCAATTCGTATCGCGACAACCATGCTATTAGCATGTGTGGAGACATCGGCGGTCATATTGCTTCGCGTGAGATCGGCATACCAGATGGAGTGTACCCAAATGAATGTGCTATCTGCAGGAGCGCAAGAGATTCAACAAAAGACTATGATCGCGATTGGTTTGATAACTCTGTTAATTCATATGTTGATTATGCAGTAAGGACAGGGTATTATGGGAGAAACTCATGTCATGCGTAGGTAGTCATGTATGGATAGAAAAGGGAGGGTTAGGGCTGATTTTCTAAATAGTTTCGCAATCTCAAGGCATCTTGCTCACCATAACGGTCTCCGCAATGAAATGGAAGGGTTTATTAAGACGTACAATACTGTCGCAGAATTGATGCTTCAGCATAGTGCTTTGGCTTTCAACCATGGCGTGGAGGAGGTTTTCATAGGTGTTGTCAATGGCGGAACGATTTACGTTGTTCCGTATATTCAATGTGGTGATCCCATACCTATGACAAAAATCGTTCACCAGGAATTGACCACGTACACCAAAGTCACACCTTCAGAATCCCCGACCTGGATAGAACTCAGGGCCGCTAGTGGTGATCAGGCATGTACCTGGCGCTCCGCTTTTGCAGGTGGAGGACCCCTAACAAATCATGCATTGCAACAACTTGCTGGACTTGGCCTCGATAAATTGGGGTTGTACAACACTTATGGTCCCTCGAAGATTTCCATTTCTTCTCAAACGCAGATTGGCCAATAAGAATACAAAGCTGACGATGAAATGTCGATACCGTGTGAGCAGCGCTACAGAACGATGCAGTATATGTACTGAACGAAGATTCAAGAATACACGGTATAGGTATGCTAGGAGAAATTGCGATAGGGGGCGCTGTTGTTGCACTCGGCCATTTGAATGAGCCAAACCAAACGACAAAAGCCCTCATATCCGATCCATACGCGACTGCACACTATCTCACTAATATTTGGACGACTATGCACCCAACTGGCGGCATAGGGCATCTCCAGGATGATGGTTCCTTTATCTTTCGACACTGAATGGCCGGAAATGCCAGAGTTAAACTGCGTGGCCTACGCATTGATCTGACTAATACTGAAAGTAGCAGGATCACCAGCTCATGTTGAGTGTTGAACGCATCGATTGACATGCTTCCCAAAAGCTGCTCCGAGTATCTCGTTGTCCATTTGATCTTCAATCTGCAATGAAAGCTCGAATATCCAGACTATCTTCTGCACTGTTTGCTTGGACTTCTGCCTCTCCCTTGATGCATGATCCCCATCATAGCAATCCCTCTTGACAGATCACCTCTTACCACCCACGCCAAACTTGGCTGTAATATCATTGAAGCAATGTCTTTACCTCACAAGATCAATTTAGAATCTCAGACCGATGTCGAAACGACGGAAACTATGATTCAACATCGACAAATGTGGCATGAGATTCTTGGAAAAGTGGGCGAATAAATTAGGTTGATCATTTCTATGTTCACAAATTTCTTTACGGCCAGCGGGGATTCTCTCCTCATCGTTAAACTACAAATTCAGATTCGGTGAACCTTTGATATGATAATTCAGCTGCTTGATATTATTCATGACAGGGCTCTTGAGCCATTTGCACGTAGAGTGGAGGAGGCTACGAAGTTGAGGGTCATGAACTGCCAACAAGAGACCAAGTTGCTTCCTAGCTGATTTTCCACGCCAGACTCAGAAAAAGTAACAAAAGAGCTGTACCATGTATAGACATTTGAACTACGACTTTTGCAATTTTCGCAGAACTAGAAATACCTACCTCGCTATCTATATTAGGTAACATAGAGACTAAGTGAGCAAACATACTGAGATAAGAAGAAAAAACTCTTTATGCTCGTGGTGTATGGGTCTACAGCGACAGGAACGGCGCCGCATGACGGATGCTGTAAGCGTACTAAAAAGCGGCTTAAGAATCACGATCAAAACGTTTGAATGCAGCAATCTACATGAATTTGGTACGCCGACATGAACATCTACATTTACTACCCTGGAGTGATGGATGGTAAGCTGTACCCTTAATGAATGTGTCCAAGGTTAATCAATAGGGTACAGCGTAGGATACTTAGTAGATGACCTAGCAAGTAGCCACCACATCACTAAGAAGAAAGTAAATATATGATAGGTAATCTTGGTGAGGCAGATTTTTCCTTTCTGCATAGGGTGATAGTTTACTGGCAGCGCGACACGCTGCAGGTTATAGTACGTTTATTTCCTGCCTAGAACACTTGTTGATTATATTGCTATGGAGTGAGACAGAAATCTAGCGATCATCTCAACGTGCAGAAATATAATTAGCGACAACTGTACTATAATAGGCGAAATTCACGGTGCGTAATTACCTAATTAGGCCGAATCAGATGTTAGATTCACGTAGCATTATATAGTAGGCTGGTTGCAGTTGCATCCATTTTGAATATGAATCCAACCTTACACTTCCCCCCTCTTGAACTTATGGAGATAGGGTCGTTTCACCTCTTATACTGCGGAGGATTAAGCATAGAATTTATATTCTTTTATAAGGTTATCTTCTAGGATAAACATAACAGTAGACAAGTAATTTATATTATCTCTATATAGACGAAATCTCTCTACTATCTATAGGACAATGAATTGCCGATGTGTATTAGCCCTAAGTCAGGCCCCTCATTCTAACCCTATATGTATATCCTGGTTCAGTAGCCTCGCGATTGAAAAAAAACCCCTGGCGGGAAAAAAAAATCGCAAGTTCTACCCCTCGATACCTATAGAGTAGACTCTGGTCTAGTTATCTTTATTAGTTTGTTAATTCTAGAGATTCAAATGTCGTAAATAGGCCTTACACTGCTTATCCTGGGCACTGTTCTTTTCCATTCACACACGAACAACCGTGGCTTCCGAAAAAATCGCAATGAGCATTTGGGTAGTTGCATACATCGCAATATTGAATCGTCTGGTCTCCAATTTGCTTTGTAATTGGAGGTTCGCAATTACCGCTATTATCAACGCAAAATCTATATCCGAGAAGACAAGTCTTTGGCTGCTTATAACATGCGTTTGGCTGGGGCGTAAACGCAGAGGCCATAGTAGCGAAAGCAAAAAGAGTATAGATGTAATACATCTTAGTAGTTGTATAATAAAAAGGATTTGAATGTAAGAGTGATGTGAGCTAATTGTGTTGATAATAATGTGCTTCTTTCACCTGCAGTATATATTGTACTATCACTTTTAGTCATTGGGTCTACGAAATTAAATTCGATTATGATTTTGCTAGTAGCCCGTGGAGCTGAAACTATGGCACGGCTTACATACCTCTTTTTTACTAGTGCTCTACTAATAGTCTCAAAATCATAACTAGTAAATCTTATTTAGATAATCTAGCCAGTCTAAGTTATTAGAGCTGACGTTTTCTCTTCAGTGACATCGAACTACATTCTAATTCTGAGTAACATTTGACATTTTCAACCGTATTAGTCAGAGCTTATCTGTCTTTGGAACCAGATTAATTGTATAATTCTACCCTACCCTTAAGTAACATTTAACGTTTCCAGCCGTATTAGTCAGAGGTATTCGATGTTATTGATTGGTAAGACTGGGGAAAACTATCCTAACGCTGAGTAATATTTAACGTTCGAAGCCGTAGTAGTTAGAGCAGATTATCTTACTTTGTTGGTGGAATTAGAGAATTCCATCTCGACGCTGAGTAACATTTAAAGTTCTAAGCCGTATTACTCAGAACTAGTCCACCTTACTTACTTACTAATATAATCCAAGTTCAAGATATTGGTACAAGTAATGAACATAAATGTTGGAGCAGTTCTCGTGAAATTGAATTCTAAGATCATCTCTACCTACAGTTTCAAGCTATCCAGTTCTACTAGTCCCACCTAAATCATTAACTACATTTTTACCAATGTTCTACTCAACTCCAATCTTCCTCTTCCTAGCCCTAATGGGATCAGCCACCGCACAGACAAGACCACCAGTTATTTCTTCGGATTACACTAAGTTCTGCTCTTTTGGAGGGAAGGCGATGTGTATAGGAGATGACAACGACTGCCTAATTGGTAGTCTCGACGCCAGCTGTATTGCTGAGGGCGTAGGGGCCCATTGGTGCTCTTGTACTAGAAAGAATGGTCCAGGAGCATCGCCCCCTAAACCAGGCACCACGGTTATATTTAACCACGTTATTTGTTCACCAGACCGCGACTGTTATGAATGCCGGAAGCCAAAGAAGGGACCATTTGGCGATGAGGGACCAGACCCGTACCCTAATGAGCCAAGTCGTGGGAAAATTTTTAAGGATGTTTGCTAGTGTGCCTATGCACAGGGGTTCTATGATACAAACGGAAAGGTTAGATATTCAACCATCTCGACTATAACGGCAAGAAGTTCTTCTACAACAGAGAACTTACAATAAGGACAGCAAGGGCACTTCTTAAATTACTATTTTCTCTATTCCTATTTTTTGTGTTTTAGTTCTATGTATGTACTGAAATAACATATATATTTCGTTATATTCTATGTTCTTTGTGATAGTAGAATGATGTCCTTTGCAGAAAGCGCACTCTAGTAGCCTCTATCTTTACTCTAGTGCTACTATAATAAGATTCTATAATCTAGTGATATAAGGAATGATAGAAGGGATATTTGCTCTAGAAATAACTATAGATGGTTGGAGAACTACCCTGGATGCTAAGGGAAAAAATAGTTGTCACGGAGCGTTGATTATGTGATTTACCCTCCTGCTAAGAGCTAGCATTCCGCTACGAGAAAGATACTATAAAGACATAGGAAGTCACGTCTTCCTAAACGTCCTTAGGAAGTATATCTCTATAGGATGCTAAGAACAATAGAACTAATAATAATCATGATATACACCTAGCTTTGCAAAACAGTGTTGATTAGTATAGCTAAGGATAGCTACTACTTTTAACGAATTGTAGATTTTTTCTAGTAAATAAATGTAGCTTAGAAGACCGAAGGCTTGGAATGATTCTATGACGTTGATTGGACTAATCTCATCTTACCCTTCTTCATCGCGATAGCTAGGATTACCATGCTTGATATTAAGCAGCGGCCACAGTGCTGCATCTCGTAACAATTCCACCATGGAAAATGCCGCCACCATCGTTAGGCGAAAACTCAGTGGTGCTACGTCCGCTAACAGTCAGCTCCGTGACTGTTTCTGTACCGCTGCAGTCCCCGGTATCATGGAATCTCGCAAAACGTATTGCACCCTGAGCAGGGAGACACTCAGCATCTGTGAGAGCCTGATTTTCGACAACGGGGACATTAGGCCGGACGATACAGGCCCCCCAAGTGACAAGAGCACTCTGATCAGTAACTTCCGAGACGGTGCACCCTCCAGCGATGCACACGGTATCTTCAATCTCATTGCCGATCGGAAGAGAAACGCCTTCTACAGAGCAAGCAAGCTGGTCTTCGTCGAAATTGACACGGACTGCGGCCTCGAAGTCTCCGGCTCCCTGCCCTCCTAGGTCAGAGGGAAGTCCGAATACAGATTCCATTCTAGAAAACAATAGGTCATTAGTTAATGTATAACACTCCTTGGTTGTCATTCCATACCTGCAATCAACGGTACTTTGGGGATCTCCTCCAGTAGCAAAAAACTTTACTAGTTTGACGATGGGATTGCCACCAAGGGGACATGTAGAGCATGTTTGACGTTTTTCGAAGAGAGAAGAATGTAGGTTCGAGCTATACCCTCCAGCGATAAAGGAACTCGTAGTAAGAAGGAGAGCAAATGCGCGGAATGTCATGATGAAGTGAGAGACTAGTTGAAATGAAAGGTTTACTGAAGTTGGAAGTAAAAAGAACCCGCTGCTGAAAAAGAATGTTTCTAAATCGTACTGTTGGTTAGGAAGGTGTTGCTTGCAGAAATTACAACAATCATGAAAATAATGCGGTATATATAGATACTACGATTCAACAGACTAGGTAAGCAATAATCACGAACAAATACTTTTTTTAGAGTATTGTATCATCAGCCTCTTGGCTGACACATTTAACAGTCGTTCATAGCATATTTCGCCCGCCACGCCATGCGTTCAATGCAGTATTGCCAAGCTCGGCGACTTGGGGAATACTTTTGTAGGGGAGAGCGGAGTGATTAATCGTAGAGATATAGCTACAATGGAGGTCTGCTTAAGACACTAGCGTTACAGTCGTTACCCTCACTATTAAAGCCCAAGATGAGTGGCGTGTTTAGATATTTACTGGGGGGTGGTAGTAATTTTGTTCTTGTGTCAGCAACATAGGCTTTACCACTGACCTGGAACGCCAAGCTGGATGGGACGAGAGGGGCTCCTGACGATGAAACACGGGGGAAATGCGGGGATTTATTATTAAAGCCTGAGAGTTACCGCGCGCCCCTGTTGATTGATTATAAATAAAACTAAGCTAGAGCGTTCGCGAGTCTGCTTACATCGCTACTACTTTGAAGCTATTTCTGGCACAACATTCGTGCGCGCAAGGAATTGTGTGGCACAATCCTCCATTAACCAGCAAAACGAACTACATTGAACTACACTAGATATGAGCGCGATAACGGCTGTAAATCTCAGTCAATTGATACACTCTCGAATCGCGTAGTAGTTCGTCAATGGATTTCTTAATATCTATAGGCATGTTGTGAAGATAGTAGAGGACGTGGATTGCGGTGAATTGTTCGGAATAGCACAAGGTGGTCGGCGGAAATTATGGCGGTGGACGTGTTAGGTAGTCTTTTCCGGTGGTACTTCGGACCAATCAAAACATCTTTATCAGAGTCATGTCATTACTTAATATATTTCTCTATAAAGTAGCCTCGATGCGGTGGCTGTCAAGATCAAATTTACATAACAGATGGAGGCAGAATTGATTGGTAATGCTAGTAGTGAGTAGAACTCAGAATATCATTCTGCAAAATGAAGCTCTGAACCATTGTTTGCTAATACATACCCTACGTATTGATGCAAGCATTTGCAGATGCTACGCCTCAAGGTTGGGTTTGTTCATGATGGTAGTATGAATATAACTCGTGTAACTATACCTGCGGTCAGAATAAGATCAGACGAGGAAATGTCTGAACAGTGGATCAAATAATCCTGTGATGCGATTCTTTCGCGAGTGTTGCTGCTACGCCAGTTCAATGAGGTAGGCAGTGATCCGATTATAGGATAGCGGCCTCTTTTCATTGGTATTGGCTAGGTAATCAAGGCTCTTAGATCTCGACTGTCACCATGGGAGACATGACTTTCAACAAGCGAGAAAAGACCGTAGCCAAGATGTGGAGCGTTTCGAAGAATCTTTACGAGACTTCTCGTCCGCTATGCAAAGAACAATTTTGTAAGTTCAAGAAGCTTAAGTTTTGCGGTTGAAAGAAAGTAGGCCCTTGTCACGGAGTAGTAGCTACAGAAGGATTGTTCTGATAGGCGATGTTGCCCATGTTGCCCATCCTTGGGTGGGACAAGTAGATCAATACCGTTTCCCATACGTTGAAATAAGGTACCTATACTCTTAGGGGGGTACCATGACACTGAAAGATATAGTAACATTTGTAGAGCTTTTGAAGCGTGCACATTCAATGAAAGATATTCTGGACGTGTATAATGCACTTTAAGAGATTTAGCAACGGCGATATAGACGGGTCCAAATATGAAGCGCCAAAAAGGTCGCTGGGAGTCACTTCCTAATGGACCTGATCAGTACACGTGACAACAATCTCAGATTGTCAATGCTTGCGTGTAAGACGAATCTTGGGAAAAGAGCCACATCGATAAGGTGCCAAAACATAAGTCCCTGGGTTGGAAAATATAGGTCAGCGAGTATAACGCAGTACGACTTGACTTTTTTTTTCCTCTGTTTGCTATGTGGCGTATCAGATCATTTATCTCAGAAAAGAATGGCAGGCCACACCCCAACCTGCCGAAATCGGGTATCAAAAAAAATGACCGTGCAGTCAAAGTAAAAAACCGGGTAAGGGTCTGCGAGACCCTAATTTAAAACCTTAGGAATAGTTTAGTAATAATTTATAAACCTCTCAATAGGTATATGACTATAAGGCACAACTCTATTGGGTGCGACAACCACAATACGGTTGCGACGAAGGCAGCAGAACAGCGAACTACAGTTGCGATAAGACAACGATACAACGAACGTAGTGCAGCGAAGCTCTCTAATACCCATAAATTCGCCATGTCCGTCCATCTCTCTCATCTCATCACCGCCGCGCATTTATTTGAACTCGATCTCGACTCCCATCGAAACGATGTCGACTTTCTATTCGTAGCTCTTGTCCCTACTCCCCTTCCATCTTATATCTATTAAAAACACTAATTCCCCTAATACTATAATTGCTTCCTTCAATCGTCCGCTAAAGAAGATCCACGACGATATACAGAGGTGGATAGCAGATAGGTTCGATAGGTTAGAAGCTGGCTCAGACGGTACGGGCCTGATCGATCTAAGTGCGATCCTCCGGATGGGCGAGTACGCCCTCGTGAGCAACGCAGACGCGCTCAACATATACCTGGCGGGCATAGATATCATAACAGTCGACGTGTCCGAATCGAGACTTAATTCGGACACCATTCTATGGCTCTAAGAAGACACGGTCCGCATCAAGGAGGCCTTGAACGCCAGGTGTCCGACCGATCGGCAGAGGGAGTTTATAGCGAGGGTTTGGTCGAAGGGGAGCAAGGAGTGGATGGGTATGGTGCTTTGGTTTTATGGCAAAGCACTGGGTGTTCGATAGGATGGAGATGAGACCGGCGTCGCAGACGTGTCGCTCGTGTCGATGCGTGGCCGTGTCGATTGGTGGAGCGGAGGATGGGTGGGCGTAGTTGCTGCTTACTAGTTGTAATCAATCTCAGAATTCTTTTCTCTTAGAAACTCCACTCAGAAAGGCCGGAGCCAAATAACGCAGTACAAGTCGTAAGACGGAGTTATGTATACTGCAGACTAATCTGCGTATTCGCTCACTAGTAAAAGGCGTATTATAGAGTAGATAAGTGCTTTTTGTCACACTCGCTAAAATAATCCCTCCATGATGGATCTCGTCCTCTGTGCATACACTAGAGGCTACTTGTCACTATCATTAGCTCCATACATGACAAAAAGTTGCCTTCGTTCTTTTTAAGTCGTATTATCACAACTCTTAGCTTTCAAGATGATTCTGAATAAGGTTCTGGGTATGTTAGGCAATGCAGTGGCACCTGTGACTTGAACATTTCGTACACGGTCCAAACCGGAAGGCGACCAGGCAAGCGAGTGTAATGTTATCAAGCAAGCATCCACATCGACAATCTACTAGTGAATATCGGCATGGTAGTAAAATATGTTCTTTTATTAAGCCATTAAATGTCTGCAGATAATAAATATGAGCAGATTGAAGATCAAGTAAGAAAATAGCCAATACAAAGAGTCATTATAGCACCCGAATTCTTAGCCGAACAAGGCCTGGCTTTGTGGTATAGCCGAGGACAACAGCCATCCGGAGGGATAATTGCTGAAATGCATGGTCCGGCCGGGCTTCGGTGTATAGTAGTACGGCTTAGGGTGACAGTCATCCGGAGGCCGAACCCCTTAGTTCTTAGTTCTTGGCAGGGCAGGGCTTCGCGTCAGGATACAACCAGGGGACGACATCACAGGCGGCGCGGCAGCGGGTGCCTGCGCCGTCGTCGATGTTGCAACTCCGCAGCAGTAGAGCCGCGTCGCCCGAGGTCCAATACTTGTTGCTGCAGGGCAACGCGTACTTGTAAGTCGAGTCCTCGAGCAGGGTCGGGTCGTTGCGGCAGCAGGCTTCGCGTCCCTCGCCCCAAATGTAACTCCAGCCTGTCGTGCAGCAGCGACCGTTATTGGGGGTGGCTGGTGTGACGACCAGGTTGCCGGCACTGTTCTTGCCGAAGTCAGGGCACGTCCAGGTGGTCTGGCGGGCTGCAAGAGGAGCGTCCGAGGCAATAGGCGAGGATGAGGCAATGGTAGCGGCGAGTAGGCCGGCGAGGAGGTTGAGGGTGAACATAATTGTGCCGGTAGTTTTTGCCTAGAAACGCGAATGAGTGTATGTGTTAATACTAAAAAGAGTGTTATAAACAATTCAGAGTTGTGAAATATGTGTTGTTAATTAGAGAGGGTCATCCTCTCTTTATACGTACGTAAATCTTCAAACCCATAAACTTTCGTTTGGTTCTGCGGTATGTGAACTGCTTCATTATTAGCTCACTCATCAATATGTACTCCCTGTATTCAACCTTGATGATATTAATATAATGAATTACAATCGTGGAGGGGTAACATCATAAGCTGCTTAATACAGAACGGAAAGCTAGCATTGCATGGGGCACACCGCGTAATGTAATAAACCGGGTGCCTAGATTGGAGCCTTCGCCGGGACTACCCCGGGACAAACAATAATTCGTCCAGGGTCGATGCAGTGGTTACCGGGTCGACAAGTGCATACGCTATACGCGATGCATTTTTGCATATGATTTTAACGTTCATATTAACTATTACCAAGGTCTTACTTACGCTGAATGTCATCAAATCAACATGATCATGTCAACACCTGGCCCTGCCTTCTCCCAATGCTGACAATCGACATCAAACATCACACCGACCTTCCGATACACTATTTCCGAATACGGTCCTAGTACCTCACGAGACTCTGCGTCAAACGCATCTTCCAATAGTAAGCAGTGGAAGAACCAACCTGAAGCTCGAGGCAGCGTTGCATGTGGCTCATTACTGACATGGCGTGCCATCACAGCAAACAACATCATACTGGGCTGCGTGAATGGATACCAATTATCTAGCGTTACTGAGCCAATTATATATTCTTTATTCTCGTCCAATGCAACATCGAATCTGATCGGCCTGGGTGTCGTTGCGACTAGCTCTATAGCAAGACTAATGTAGAGGCGTGCCGTTTGCGCAAAAAATCCGAGCATCCGTGGGACCAGTACACGCATAGCATGCGGAAATAGGCAATGAGCTTGCGGATTCGTTCGAAGCATGGTGGCGAGTTGCATGTACTCTTAGACAGTTGAGTAGAAGCGGAGCGGGAGCATGGGCAGATGAACCAGGAGCTGTCGCTCAATCAATTACTCCGCAAATTCCTTGTCGGTATTGACCTGAAAAACTGATGACTTACTTAATCTTGGTCGCGTCACCCGTAATGTCGAAGCGGTAGTACTCTACCAGCGAGCAAATCTTCGGCCATTTTCAATTGCCCTACTCAAACTCTCTCTGTCTTCTCTCTCTCTACTATCACTTTCTCTTAACTCTTTCTATAGGGTTAACAAAGTATACAATGGCGATAAGGGTAAGCAAAATCATGAGTAAAGATTTTTTTCTTCTAGATAGATAGCGTATAGCTTTACCATTCTAAGGCTATTCTTCTTTTATTACTATAAGCTATTATTGCAAAGTTATTAAGATAGAAAGCAAGAAAACATAGTTATAAAGCGTAAATTAGTAGAATATACTTAAAATAATTGGCTCCGGCCTTTGTAAGTAGAGTTTCTAAGAGAAAAGAATTCTGAGATTGATTACAACTAGTAAGCAGCAACTACGCCCACCCATCCTCCGCTCCACCAATCGACACGGCCACG